ATTGCATTGTGCTGGGTTTTAGCTTTGCCCAAAATGGCCTACTGGTTGGTTCTGTGCAGCAGCGAGTGCGTTGCTCACCAGCAAGACGAAGGGAGCTCCGAGGTACCTTGAAGCCTGTAATGGGCCCCACACAGTATTTAGGTCTGGGCTTGTCAAGATGTCTGCATGTATCTTTTTTTTTTTTTTTCCTCCTAGTGAGATTGCAAATGACTCAATACCGTGTATATATTATATCTTCATGAAGAATTGTGTAAAAATGGATTATAATTCATAGAAAAAATGTTCATGTTGGTTTTGTAGCAGCCTCAAAACAGCCACCCCCAGACTCTCTTTTAGATAAGAGCCTTTCCTCACTGGTGTCAGCCAAAAAGTTACTTCACTTCGCTGCTCGAGCACCCGTCCGGGGCCAAACCGCGCTGATGCTGTGGCGAGTCTGACCAAGATGGAGCCGGGCCCCCTCCCAGCTCTGCCTGCTGCCGCGCATGGAGGCAGCTGGTCCTGCCTGCACGGCCTGGCCGGTCATGGCAGTGCCGAGGAGGGGCTGGGACCTCTGCCAGCACCTGCCTGCAGCAGCGAGGAGCTGCGGCCCTCTTGGCCGGCTACCGTACTCAGCGGATCCAGGTCCCTTCCTGAGGCATCGCTGTCCTGTTGGGCATCCGGCTGGATGTCGGGTTTAGCTGGTGACATGGAGTTTTCCAGTGGGAGAAGGAGTTGCGGGAGGTAGGACTGAGGTGAAGGCAGCAGTGCTCTGCAGGGTGTCCTGCAGAGATAATTTTTGGAGTGAATATGGCTTTGGTTCCTGATATTCTCAGCCAGGTGCCTGTGCCTGAAGAGCCCATCCTTTCTGCCCCACCATCCTGCAGGAAGTGTGTCTGTCCAGCCTGTCTCCGGCTGGAGACCCCGTGTGTCTCGTACTCCCAGCATGAACTGGTGGTGGCTTCCTCATCCCAACAGGGGCAATTTTTCCTTTCATGTGTGCCTGTGCTTCTGCAGAGCCTGTAAATCATTTATTTCTGGAGGGCTTAGTTGGTTTTCATGCCATTTGTGGTGCTTGCTTTTGGAGAAACACCTCTCAAGCCCAAGAAACCATTTGACCGTGTGGCAGCGTGTTCAGTAGCTTTGTCCCCAGCCTGGCACTAGGGTGTATTAATCTTATAGCATGTATTGGCAGCAGGAAATCCAGTGCTGCTCTCACCATCTGTGGGACTGAGCCCAAGGCTTTCCCATCCTGCTGTCATGTGGAGCGGTACCAGGGCCTTGCGGGGATGCTGCAGGGCTTCCTAACGGCGACTGCTGCTCTGCCACTGCTGCTATTGCATTGTCCCTTGTGTTGAATGAAGTTCATCTGCAACACTAAGTGAAAAAAATTGAGACATTTTGAATTCTAGCAGTTCTTCTATTATAATTAAGCTGCCTGAAAGGATGCCTCAGGGAGAACAAATGCGGCTTGGCTATTTACAGAGCTGGCCACAGGAGAGCTTCCTTATAACTTCTCTATCTTATGACCTATAAATTGTGTTTAATAGCTAATCTGTCACCTCAAGTTCTTGTATCAGAAAAGATTGTTTCCCTATTAATTTGAATCAGCACAGCATATTTACAGTTCCTCAGCGTGGAAATGTTACTCTGTTAATGCTGCTGATCACAAAAATAATTTGTCACCTGTGCTATCTGCCTCTTTCTGTGGCCCATAGATCTTCCTGACTTGACATTACTCTTCCAATTGTGATGTAATTTCAGTAAAAATAATCTTGAGGAAGGTTGTTTTTGAAAGTCATGAAAGGCTTATTTCTTCAGGGACACAATTTCAGTAGCAAAATGTGGTTCCAGTTAAGAGATGCTGAGCCAGCTCTCCTCCTGTAGAAGAGATTTTCTGATCTGCTTTCTTTTTAGATTTTATCGCTACATAGTGTGGCCAGGAAGAGGTTAATCATTTGCTTTGGAGAAAGGAATTAAAATCCTGTATCTGTGGGGCATAGCCAGTCTGCAGGTGGGACCCAAGCAGGAACATACCAGTTTATCAAGGCGAGGTGAGTGTCCAGAGGGAATGTCCAGGGAGAGGGAAAGCTCTCTAACTCTGTAGCTCCTGGGGCAGATGTATGCCTTCGCAGGGAAAAGGTGTTGGGACTTCCTGGTATGATGCTGGGTGGGTTGCAGAGGTTCATCATGGCCACTCTGTGCCCTGATGGGAAGCCACCGGCATCCCTTAGCTACTCCAGCTGCTTAATTTGTTTTCCTTCCGACTATGATGTCAGTGTGTATTTCTGTACGCTTGTAGTGTGGAAGAGGCAGCTGCTTCGAACAATTAAAAGAGGTGGGCTTGAATCTGCAAAGTCTTAGGTGAGTTTAGCTCCAGAGGTCCTCTTGCTGTCTGAACCTTGCTGCAGAGTTGTGGTCTGAGTCACATCTCCTGCGCACAGAGCAACAGGCTCACTTTTTACAGCTCATCTTGCTTAGATTTAGGCTTTACCACTGGTATTGCACTGAAGCCTTTCTCCAGCTCTGCAGGCCTCAAATTTTGGAGACAGCTGGTTGGCGTGACCTGTGAGGTGCTTTCAGTTGCACTGCTCGCCCTTACCACATGGAATCCCGTTGCATGGGAGAGCTTTTAGTGTTGTGCCTATGGATATTACACTGGGAAAGGTAAAGTGTGCTTACTCGTTGAACAAACAGCACCAGTATCAGCTGCATTGGAGGGCAATCCAAGTCATAGCAAGAGAGGAGTAGCAAAATAAAATAGAAGTATGCCACACGGGTCACTCCAGTGGTTGAGCTCAGAAAGCAAGAACAGAGGGAGCATGCCTTTTTTCCCAGCACTGGGACAGCTGAAGGTGCCCCACTTGCTTGCAGCCTGGTGGTGTGGTCGAGTTGCTCTTCTCCTCATCACGGCACTTGGTGCAAAGATCTTGCTTGTTAATAGGAAATTTGAACAGGTGATTGGGGAGCTCAGAATCCTCTGCATGAACAGGAACACTAGCCTAAGGATGTACCGGGAGCACACAGCCGAGAATGATAAAAGAGCGAGGCTGCCTCTGTGTTGGTAGCACGGGCTTGTGCCATTTTGAATAGCAAAGACAAGTGTCCTGAGATGCTGTGTAACCATCTCAAGTGGAAGGGTGGACTGGATGTTTCCTGAGCTAGGGTGCTAGGGAGGGGTGAGACCAATCTCTGAGCAGTCACTCACCCTGACTGCTCCTTTCTGGAGGTTCGGAAAAGATGGCTGTTGTGGAATTGGGTCACAGCAGCAGCTGGGTAGCAAAGGAAATGCACATGCATGGACCATGGGGGATTTGGGGTCGGGGCTTTGGAGTGAACAGCTATGCTGAGGCAGCAGACGTGCGTTAGGCAGAAGGAGCACATCCCTGCTCTTGGCTCCTTGCCCTGCTGTCCGGCTGTGTATGCTCTGGCTCTGCCAGGTGGAAGTAAGGCCTGTGTCCTGGTAGATACAGTGGGCAAAAGAATCTGATTCTCAGATAATTTGTCTTGTTAAATACAGCTGTTACTCGGTGGTAAGAACAGTTTTCAAATAGCTGTATTTATTTAAGACGTCCCCAGGGGACAGAGGCTCCAGCTGCTGAAATACTGTTGTCTTTGCTGCAATCCCAAGGTTGTTTGGGGCTCAGTAACAAATAATGTTGTGCTAGAAGGACCCTGATGTTGCACAGTAAGAACTATGCTCTTCAGAGCATGGTGTGATGGGCCAAACAGAAGTACGAGAAGAGCACGCTGGCTACTGGTATTGCAGTCAATTGGTATTACTGATAAGCAGCAGAGGCATCTCCCTTCTCCCAGCTGAGTGCTGGCTGCAAGTGTCTATGTTTTCCACCAGCAGGTATTCAACGGCTGTTTGCCCTGGAAAGATGAGACTGCAGAGACCTCACGGTGGCTCAGCCTGCAGCATGGTTGTGTCAAGTTACACGTTCTGCTGCTGGTCGCTGACAGTGCTTTGGCATCAGCCTGCAGGGTCTCAGGAGTCTGTTGCTTTGACATGAGTGTACTGGGTGGAGGGTGGACCAGGGCAAGCATTCATTTGCAATGGTCTCTGCAGTGGATATCATTATTTGTCTGCTTTCTTATGAGCTGCCATACACAAGATTGTTTGTTGTGCTAGCCGGACTTGGCGTAGATGTTAAAGTAGTCACAAGAGGTGACCTGAGGTGTGGCTGCCAACAGGGGAAGCGCTGCTTTGTGAGACAGCTCAGGCTGGTTCTGGAGTGCAGCAATCGCTTTCTCCATCCTCAGTGGTCTCTGCATCTTTGCAGTGCCGGCCTTTGCCTCTACCAGGTACACACGCACTGTACTCTTCAGAGAAAGAGGCAATCCTAGCCCTGCTCTCCTGAGTCAACCCCAGTCCTGCTACGTCTGCCTGAACTGCCATGAGGGGTGTAGAAGAACTGCAGAGAGCAGGTTTTCTAGCTGGTAGTCACATTCTTTCCCCAGAATGGCCTTCTGTGGCTTTGATTTCTAGAACTGGGGCCATCTGACTTATTTCCATGAATACTTGTACTTATTTTTTCTCTCTCATCCCTGCAGGCAGCGTCCTCAGCACTGAGCAGTCTGGGCCATGTGTACACAGCCATTGGGGACTACCCAAACGCACTGGCTAGCCACAAGCAGTGTGTCCTCCTTGCAAAGCAGTCCAAAGATGAGCTCTCTGAGGCGCGGGAGCTGGGCAACATGGGAGCAGTGTACATTGCAATGGGGGATTTTGAAAATGCGGTGCAGTGCCATGAACAACATCTTAAGATCGCCAAGGAGCTGGGGAACAAGCGGGAGGAAGCTCGAGCCTACAGCAACCTAGGCAGTGCTTACCACTACCGGAGAAACTTCGACAAAGCCATGTCCTACCACAACTATGTGTTGGAGTTGGCCCAGGAGCTGGCTGAGAAGGCCATTGAGATGCGAGCTTATGCTGGCTTGGGCCATGCAGCTAGATGTATGCAGGATCTGGAGAGGGCTAAGCAGTACCATGAAGAACAGTTGCACATCGCTGAGAGCCTGCAGGACCGAGCTGCTGAAGGCAGAGCCTCCTCTAATCTAGGTAAGGCCCTGACATGGAGCAGAATTTGTCAGGGAATGCTGTGACTATCAGAGCTGCTGCCAGGATGCAGGAGGTTTGCTGTGTGCTATCTTCTGAGTTACTCCAGTTTCACCAGGCTGTCTTCATAAATTAAATAGGCACTTGGCAGATTGTGTGCCAGTGTAATGTATTCCATGTTCAATTATTAACCTGCTCAGAAAGGCACCAGAAAGCACAAGCTCATGGCAGAAGGGAAATGAAAATGTAAAGTGCATTTGAAGAGCTGTTCTGGTGTCCAAAATAAACGTAAGTCTTGTGCTTAGGCAGGTGACGTGGTTTATTACCTGTCCGTTTCTTTGGGAGCTTGTCAGCTAGTTATGTCAATATATTGCTGCCTTGTAAGTTGGGAGATGCATGGGTCAAATCCTAACTGAGTTTGTTTTCAGAACGTGAAATACATTAAAATAATAGAGTGTAGGAGTCTCATGTTCTTCCAAGGAGAGATACTGGCATCCTGCTGGCAGGCTGGGAAGGACTGAATTACATCAAAGACTGCTTCACAGCACCAGATGTGGAAGCAACCAAAGATGAGTTTCCATCTCCGCTGTGGGATGCGGAGTTTGCGCTGCTGCTGTTCCAGCTGTCATTAAGGATGTGTTCTCAGCTGGCTGGGAGTGGCAGAACAGGGCTGTTGCTGGTATAACAAAATACGCATTTGCTGGCAGCCCCTGAATCTCAGCTCTTGCAGGCTGCCCCAGCCATAAATTAGCTTCTGTTTCAGCTTGGCAGTTGGCACTTGGTTCATTTGTAGATGCTAATTGTACTCTGATGTTATCAACAGCAGGTAATTGAAAAGGGCTTGATGAATTACTTAATTTCTCTTAATAGCTGAGTCTTCAGGAGCTGAGTGAAGAAGATAAGGTGAAGGGGAGAAAACAAAACAGTCCTAGCTTTCTAATTAGATTTGCGAATCTCCTTCTTTACACAAATTAGGGCAAATGTGTGAGGCAAAGTAGGTTTGTGAGGCAAAAGTGCCTGTGGCATGCTTAGCATTAGAGAGCAGTGAGCGTTGATAACCTTTCTGTTAGCGTGACAGAGCACCTAACAGGCAAGAGAGCTGGGGAGATGAAGTTTTGCATCTGGCTTCTAATATTTACGTAGGGGCTTTTGCAGAGAACAACAGTGGATGCATCTAGCAAAGCACAAACCATACATGCCCCATCTCTGCTGCCCGTGTGGGGCTGGTCTTGGGGAGATGCAGAGATGTGCAGGATCACTGGTGTGTGAGAGGGACAGAGGAGCCCACGCTGGGGGAACAGGACCCAGGACTGTCCAGGCAGGGAACAGGGGGAGGTGTGAACTCTGGGTGCTTGGTGGGGGAGATGGAGATGTCATCCTTGGCCATGCTTGAGGATGCACTGGCTTCCCAGCTCATGGTCAGGACTGAGGGAAAGTTCCTCTTGCTGTGAAGCTTAAGGTATTTTGTTTCCAGTGGAAGCTGACCAGAGGGTGCACAGGCTGTTCTACTGGTGTAGTTACTGGGAGATGGCATGGCTGTGTTCAGCTGTGAGCGCCTATAAAAGAGGGTGGGCATGCTCTGAGCAGCGCTGGCAAACCTCCAGAGATCAGAACCGCTTTCATTCGCTTCTCCTCTGAAGCACATGCTGCTTTCTGGAGGATTGCCCCAATTCTTTCTAAGCACATCCAGGAAACTGAGGAAATGCAGTCTGGGGAAATGGAAGAAGCTGTCGCTTGGTTTTGGTTTTCCTCTCTACATCAGTGTGGTGATGAGCCATCTTGGGTTTTTCTTATTGTCTCCTCCTGTTTTTATGAGCCTTTTGCCATTGGGCAGACCACAGCGCTTTTGCTAGAAGAGCAAGCTTAATTAAAGTTCTGCAGCATTTCTTCTAACTGCCTGTATGTTCAGTGCAGTCTGTCTCTGTGCTACTCAGCATCATAAAAAAACTCCGACAGACTGGTACAGAAATGATGAGCTGAGATGGGCTTAGCAATTCACTGCAAGTGCTGATACTCTCTGTAGCTGCTTTGCCTCACCTCGGAATGAAACAAGCACTGCTGCAAAAGGAAGCAGCTTGCTCTTGTTCCTCAACCTTCACGGTACTCACTTGCAGTTTAAATTCTCTCAGCATTTTGCTGGCTCAAAATCAGTCAAGTTGGGACTTAAATCCACCTTAATATCATTATTAATCTTATAGCAGCTTTGGATTTAATGATGCTTTCAGCATTTAATCCCAGAAATTGAGGGGGAGGAAAGCATTTTGGTGCAGCAGAGAATGTTTTTCTTGTGTTGGATTTAAGCCTAAATACAACTTTCAGTTGGTATGCTGACTCAGCCACTCTACAATTTGTATTAGAATAGTTTTCCTAGCTTCTGAGTGCAGGATCTCACGTTTCGGCTGTTATTTGGCTATATTTTTATGTCTTCTCTGTCAGAGTTAAGTTATACTGGAGAAAGAGAACATGCAGTTCTTGTTGAGAAAGTCTATTACTGTTGTTTAAAATGCATCCAGTACCAATTAAAAAGTCAAGTCTTAATTGTCTCTTTCATCTAATCCACATGCAAAACAAAACCTCATCAAAATAACCATGCTGACAGGCAAAAAAAATGTATGTAAATGTGTGTTTCCAAGCCAGAATGTTAGAGTTGGCCTCTTTGCTGAAGCAACAGAAATTTTCTGTTTGCAGTTCACTGATTTAGATGGAAAGCTCTCTTAAGTGTACTATCTAATGCTGAGCAAGCCAGACACAGACTATAACATAGCCCAGCTGCTGTAGTGCTCTGCAGGGAGATACAATGCGTTCTGTGACTCGGTAAGCAGAAGGTAATGGACTGAGGGCAAGTCACAAGTTATCAAGCCCTTCACAACAAGGAGATGTGGAGTTTAACCAGAAGTCTCAGACTGGCAACCTTTGCAAAGCAGATGGTGTTTGTGAATGCCAAGGCTCCATGTAGAGAGCTGGCTTTTCAGCCTCCGCAGCTCTTATGGTTTCCCATTGCCATGGAGAGAGGACACTTCAGATTATTAATAAAACACAGTTCAGAGTCTCTCCCTTGGTGCTTAGCATCTCTTTGCAGTTACAAAAGAACTTCTGTGCCTATCTTCCTGTGCTTGGTGTGTTATCCAAAGGTGCTAGATGTTTTCTCTTGAAGCTTTTTTGCAATTAGGGTCAAAAAATGGTGGTTATGTTTGGCCATCTCTTCCCCTGTTGCCGAAAGACTAGCTAAGTAACCCAAGACCTCCCTCATCTCTCACTGCTCACAGGCATGCTCATCCAGCCACCTGCATCGCATCAGAGCATGCGGCAGACAGTGGATGCTCTTAGGCTCTCCTGTCTGCACCGAGGAGGGAGCTGGGAACACCACGTGGATGAGCTTCAGAACCATGTTTGCTCCGTTTCAACTTTCAGCGTGTTCATATTTCATTCTGAAAGAGTGGGTTCAGTCAAGAACGATGTTACCTCAGTCTAAGCTGGGCACCACGGTGCAGCTGTGATGCCATCACAACACAGAGGACTGTTCTGCGCTGGCTACTGCTGCTGGGAGACTGGAGGTCCCTTTGATTTCTGCTGTAACCGCCTGCCAGGCTCCAGCACAGGAGCTGCAAAAACTGTTCCAGAATTAGTCTGACACTTTCACCTTACCGATTTGTTGCCTGAGTTGGAAAAAATCGGTGATTTGCATAGGCAGAATTAACTTTTATGATGATTTTGCTGATGTCTTATACAGGTTTCTACCCAGTTTGAACTACATTCATCATTAAGAAAGCTTGTGAATTAATGTAATTTGTGCCCTTTTTGGTGCTTTACACTATTAAGGCAGTAAAGGCTATCTCTGACCATCTCCCCTCATGTCTGCCAGGTTCTTGTTTTCAGTCTGTTCTCCTGTATCCTTCATGTGCTATTCCAGAATGTAGTCTAGCTGACTAGTCTTGCTTACCAGAAGACTATCTTTTGTTTTGAATTCCATTATTATAGCTGTAAGAATGAGTCAGTTTTGCAGTGACAGTGTGTTTCTGGATCCTTCTTCCTTAAGTGGCAACAATAGATGGGTGACAGCTTAAGCAAACTAATGTGATAGCAGGCTCTGTGGGTGAGGAGAGCACAGCTTTGTTCTCTGTTATGCTACTTGGTTTTGTCCTGGGTATCTCCCGGTAAACATTTGCTCACTGTTTTTTCTCCTTTCTTGGCAGTAAAGAGGCTGACTAAAACATTTAGAACTGTGAAGGCTTCATCTCCCATCCATCTACGACCCTCATTTTTGTCTGTTGAGGAATGCACAAAGAGAGAATATATTTGGTAGGTGGTGATTTTAGAGTCTGAGTCAGAACCTTTCCTTCCTGGGCCATCCTTTGTAATTCCCCTAGCAAATGATGGAAACATACCAGGAGGTGCTGTGTGGGGTCTCTTACCAGGTTCCTCTTTTCCCAAGAGCAACCTTAATTTTTTAGATGAAATTCTGTGAATTTGCTTGAGCAAGGTTTGTGACAGAGAGGAGCCTTTTTGGTGGGCATAGTATCCAGGGTGAAACTCCATCCATAGCCTCTCCGGAGAGTGGCAGCACTGGCTGTTTCAGTAACCTGTTGCCCTAACCTCCAGTATGAATTTTACTTGTCTGGCTGCTCTTTGCCTTTCAAAGCCATGCTCTCTGTCTGACTTGCCATCTTCCTCTCCCACTTTCCTTCTCCTTCATATGGGACAGGACAGGTTGGTGTCCTGGGGCAGGAATTCCTATTATCTCCAGCCTCAGATAGTCCTTTTCTTATCTATCCTCAAGGATAATATGAAGTGGCAGTGGGAGAGAGTCTGGGTTGGGTCACCATCTCCGACATTCTTCCTCCATTATGAGTTCTTCCATGTTGAGGGAGGTAATTGCAGTGAGCATAAGTCTTCTCACTAGCTTCCTCATCTTTCATCCACCACTCCTGTGGACACAACTCCTGAGCTGTCAATGGCATTTTAAAGGTGACCACTGTCCACTGACTTTTCTTGTTCCTCACAGTGAAATGGAGTTTCTTCAGGGTGCTTAAGCTTTGAGGCTGAGCTGTGGCATGCCATCTGCTCGCTAGGAGTTCCTAAATGACCTTGGATGCCAAAGATTTTTTCTTCTCTGTCAAGTCATCTGAGTAATTCGTAGAATCATATCATAGAATCACAGAATGGTTTGGGTTGGAAAGAACCTTAAAGCCCATCTAGTTCCAGCCCCCCAGCGATGGGCAGGGACCCCCTCCACTAGACCAGGTTGCCAAAAGCCCCATCCAACCTGGCCTTGAACACTTCCAGGGATGGGACTTGCAGATAAAATTTACATGAAACTAGTAGCAAAGTGTAGAGCCAGCATCCCCTCAGAGCCTGACAGAGTGTGTCTGCAGTCCAGGGCCAAGGTTGTCTCTGACTTTGACAAGAATTTTAAGTGTATAGCTGAGGATAGACTGGGGATGGGAAAACACAGTTGCCATTTGATGGGAGGGAGACAGAGCAGGATGCTTGGAAATGAGGGCAGGGATGGCAGCTTCTACAGAAAGGATGATGGGAACCCACTGAGTAGCAACAAACAGCCAGGGAGTGAACTACGTGATTGCTCTTGTTTCCAGGCACTAGGGCAGCAAGGCTCAGTAGATACTAGCAGCCAGTCTGTGGTGCCTGTGCATCTCTCCAGAGATCTGGGTGGGTGTTTCCAGCCATGCAGTGGGAAAGGTCTGCATGCTGTCCTGGGTTCCTCCAGGTGTCTGACCTTCCTGCCAGTCATGTTACTCTATATTTCAGCCTGTTGACATCTGCAAACCTCAGCAAGTTGTGGCTGGTAGCTCCTGGCAGTGTCCTGTTGACATTTTTACTACTCTGTTCCTTGGCTATGTTTTCTTTCTCAGCATGACACACTTGGGATTAATGAAGCATAAGGAAATGATCTGTGAAGGAGGTTTTACAGAGAGACTTGCTGATGAGTTCATGGAGGTGAACCCATGGAGGTGAACAATCTGTTTTTGAGGTAGTGTGTGCTCTAACAATAAGGGGTGTCCATGTTCCCAGTGTAATTCGTAGGTCCACAGGTGGTTGTTGCTGGCCTCAGATAATCTCCCAGAAAAGCTATATAGAAGCTCAGAGTTACCAGGGGAATCAATGATTAAACTGAGAGAAGTGGAAGATGCCTCCTGAGGCATTGAATCCAGTCTCCTGTTATTGCACATGACATGTAATACAAATACCATGATTCATAAATTAACCATGCACCATTTTAACAGTAATGTTTTGATTGCTTCACTATCCTCCTGTAGGGCTGTTCAGGAGCCTTGGCACTCTGATGGTGAAAATAATTTCTAGGGTTGATGCCCCTCTGTGGTTACACCAGCATTGGTCTGTAAATTGATTAACTCTCTTCTGTGTCCAACAGGAATCACATTTGTCTGTCTTTATTGGAAATACATCAATTCACCAGATAGTTCCTTCTCTTCTCATTTCCAGGTGATGACTCCTTGCCCTTGTAGTCTTGAAGTGCATGTCTTTTTCATAGTTTACTGCTGATTTTCATCACCCTGTTCTTGTTGCTCTAGTACATAAGGTTGTCCAATCCTTCCTCCATAATAATCCCATCCTTCTTGGTGTCAGCAGTGCCTCTTAACTGGGTTTCATCAGTACATCCCGAGTAGCATTCGCTTCCTTTGTGCCAAAGCCAGTACTAAAAATTTTTAGTAATGTCTGTCCTATTTTCTGCTTTCTGACTCTTAATTAAGAGGAATCTCATCAAAGAACAAGTTATCTAGGCAGTCAGCTGAACTCAAATTTGCTTTTAAGCTGTCTTCTGTCCTCTCTCTCCCTTTTACAGTCACTTGAAGCTCAGTGCTGTCCCAGACTTGATTCCTCAGAGGAGGTGGAGAGGTGCTGGTGGAGAGCAATAGCATGTCTTGTCTCCTTGAAGAGTCTGTCCATTTAGGAGTATGAGATTAGGAAAAGCTTGCTTGTCCCCTTATTCTGGAAACCCTGGGTTTTCAGAGGTGGTTTTCAGTGAGCCATGTGTTTAGGTTTCTCACAGTGGGGCGACATTTAGCTAATTACATCTCTTAGTTTCTGAAGCAATGGGATGCTTTCACAGTGACACTTTTTTGCAGTTTCTAAGTAATATAGTTTTGTGTCTGATCCAGTTCCACCCTTTGTAATTACTTTGTGTTTTTCTGCAGAAATCAGTGTTCTTTCCTGTGAGTGCTCTGCTGTCCACCAAGCCCCAGCGCTGGCTGTGTCTACAGATAGGAGATGGAGGGCCAAAATATTTGTGTGGGGTCACTTAGCTTAGCTTCATCCTGTCCTTCCTGAAACCACCTTCCCTCATCATACCGGAGGGAAACATCAGCATGCATCAGCCAGAGATGCAGTAGCTAATGCTGATCAATTAGAACCGCAGGCTTATTGGAGCTGAGGAAGTATTTGGCCAGGATCTGGACTAAGACACCGAGGAGCCAGTCCCTCCTGCTGTGAGCTCTAGCTTTGATCACGATTGCGGTGCTGGGGGAGAGAAACGAACTGTCAGCAGCAGCCAAGTGTTGGCTAGTTTGATCCTGTTTTCTGCCTGTTTTTATAAATTGCCTTCTCCTGAAGCCTTATGTTAGTAGGAAAGTGAGCAGAATTTTTGAATTACTTGCTTTGATAGAAATACAGGTAATCCAGCCAGAATGCTTCAAGCTGATGTAATGGAACTTGGGTTTTCAATCCTACGTGAGTTTAAGAAATGAATCTGCAAGGTCCAAATTGTCTCGGGAAAGCAAATTTCAGCCCTCGTGTTCCAGGCTTGCTTGAAAAGCCTCTGTCTTCAAATTTCTCTTTAAAAGTACAAACCAAGAGGAGGCTGATGCACAGGACCTGATCTACAGCTTGCTGCACTTGCCGGTGACCAGGGAAGGCAGCTGCCTCCCGACCCTCAACACGTTGGTTGTCTGCAGAGATGGAAACTGGAAGCTGCTTTCCTTTAGGGGCAGGGAAAGACCTGAAGTTGTCTTCAGACACCTAAGTAACTGTGATGAATCTGTAGGATCTGTGTTTGCAGGGCCTCCTTCAGTGGCTCGTGGATCTCCAGGCCTGTTCACGAGTGTTTGCGAAGGAGCCATGTGTATTATTAGCACAGAGTTTAATTGAAGCATAAGTTGTAACATCAGCAGATTCAGAGCTCCTGTTCCCACATCTCATAACAAGTACAAGATGATTTGACTGAAATTGAAGAGCAAATGCATTCTCACCAGTGTGTTGAGTATGAGCTCTTGGAGTCACCAGGTATCACTGATGGGGAAAAAAAAGTAGCATAATTAAAAGATAAGATGGGCATTTGATAAGGCCAAACTGTCCAGTTGTTGTGGTGAATGCGTGCTTCATCGAATCATAGAATCGATTTGGTTGGAAAAGACCTTTAACATCATCAAGTCCAACCATTAACCCAGCACTGCAAGGTCCAACCACTAAACCACATCCCTAAGCACCACATCTACATGTCTTTTAAATCCCTCCAGGGATGGTGACTCCACTGCTTCCCTGGGCAGCCTGTCCCAGTCCTTGACAACCCTTTTTGGTGAAGAAGTTTTTCCCAATATCCAATCTAAACCTCTCCTGGCACAACTTGAGGCCATTTCCTCTTGTCCTATTGCTTCTTATTCGGGATTAGAGACCAAGGCCCACCTGGCTACAGTCTCCTTTCAGGTAGTTGTTAGAGAGCGATAAGGTCTCCCCTCAGCCTCCTTTTCTCCAGGCTAATATGTGTAATATAAAACCTTCTCCAGGATTTGCCCGTTAGAAGTGAGGAAGCAGTTTGCTTGAGAAGGGCCGTGCCATGTCGGCTGTGCTGGGGACATATCAGGATGCTCTGGGGAAGTGATGGGGCTGCCTGGTGTAGAGAGCCTGGGGAAAGGGCCAGGCTGTAGAAAAGTCCTGGCACGGCAAGGTGTTGCAGAAGGGTTAGCACAGAAGAATGTTTTTCTTGAGCCCATTTCTGTTATTTTTCAGGAATCATTCACCAGATGAAAGGTGACTATGACAATGCACTACGGCTGCATAAGACGCATCTGTCCATCGCTCAGGAGCTAAGCGATTACGCGGCCCAGGGCCGGGCCTATGGCAACATGGGTAACGCTTACAACGCTCTCGGCATGTATGACCAGGCTGTCAAGTACCATCGGCAGGAGCTGCAGATTTCTATGGAAGTGAATGACCGTGCCTCTCAGGCATCTACACATGGGAACTTAGCAGTTGCTTATCAAGCGCTGGGTGCCCATGACCGTGCTCTGCAGCACTACCAAAATCATCTCAACATTGCCCGGGAGCTGAGAGACATCCAGAGTGAAGCACGGGCCCTCAGCAATTTGGGCAACTTCCACTGCTCACGAGGAGAGTATGTGCAGGCAGCCCCTTACTACGAGCAGTACCTGCGCTTGTCCCCAGAGCTGCAGGACATGGAAGGGGAGGGGAAAGTTTGCCACAACCTTGGCTATGCCCATTACTGCCTTGGGAACTACGAGGAAGCTGTTAAGTACTACGAGCAGGATCTTGCCTTAGCAAAGGACCTTCATGACAAGCTGAGCCAAGCCAAAGCCTACTGCAACCTAGGCCTGGCCTTCAAAGCCTTGATGGACTTCAGCAAAGCAGAGGAGTGTCAAAAGTACCTGTTGTCCTTGGCCCAGTCTCTGAATAACTCCCAGGCTAAATTCCGAGCTCTGGGAAACTTGGGGGATATTTTTGTCTGTAAAAAAGACGTAAATGGTGCAATAAAATTTTATGAGCAGCAACTGAGTTTAGCCCATCATGTTAAAGACAGGAGACTGGAAGCCAGTGCCTATGCAGCCTTGGGCTCTGCATACAGAATGATACAGAAGTGTGACAAGGCTTTAGGTTACCACACACAGGAGCTGGAGGTGTACCAGGAGCTGGGAGATATGCCGGGTGAATGCAGAGCACATGGTCACCTTGCTGCAGTGTATATGTCACTTGGGAAGTACACCATGGCGTTCAAGTGTTACGAAGAACAGCTGGAGCTTGGGCAGAAGTTGAAGGACCCCAGCATAGAAGCCCAAGTCTATGGTAACATGGGCATTACCAAGATGAACATGAATGTGATGGAGGAAGCTATTGGCTACTTTGAACAGCAGCTGGCCATGCTGCAGCAGCTCAGTGGAAATGAATCCGTGTTAGATCGAGGCCGAGCATATGGGAACCTGGGAGATTGTTACGAGGCTCTGGGAGATTTTGAGGAAGCTATAAAGTATTATGAACAGTACCTGTCTGTGGCTCAAAGCTTGAACCGTATGCAAGATCAGGCAAAGGCCTACCGGGGCTTGGGCAATGGGCACAGGTAAGGAGCACTGCATGTGTGTTCTGATGACAGTGAAGTACATGTACACATGGATGCATTGTGTTACTCATGGGGTGTGTTTTTCTGGCCATTGCACGCATGCACAGGGATGTGGCATAGGAGCGAGTAACAGAGTCCTCTGGGTGCTGAGGACTGTGCTGCAGCCTCAAATAACGAAGCTGATGTTGTTCTGCCCTGAGAAGACGAGAAGTTTATAGGGCGGCAGAAGGAGGACACTGATTCAAAGGTGCCGGGGATGTTTCCTGGGGGGGAGCGTTTGTCTCTACCTGAAAGGTTTGAGCTGAGGAAATGGCAAAACATCTTATTTCAAGAAAATACTGGCAAAATAAATGCTGTTGTTTTCTTCCCTTGTAGGGCTATGGGAAGTTTGCAGCAGGCTCTGGTGTGCTTTGAGAAGAGGCTTGTGGTGGCACATGAGCTGGGGGAGGCATTTAACAAAGCCCAGGCCTACGGGGAGCTGGGGAGCCTGCACAGCCAGCTGGGGAACTACGAGCAAGCCATTTCTTGCCTGGAGCGCCAGCTGAACATTGCTCGAGAGATGAAGGACCGAGCTCTGGAGAGCGATGCTGCCTGCGGCCTTGGCGGGGTCTACCAGCAGATGGGAGAGTACGACACAGCCCTGCAGTATCACCAGCTAGACCTGCAGATTGCGGAGGAGACCAACAACCCCACTTGCCAAGGCCGGGCCTACGGGAACCTAGGCCTGACCTATGAGTCCTTGGGCACCTACGAGAGGGCAGTAGTTTATCAGGAGCAGCACCTCAGCATTGCAGCACAAATGAACGATCTTGTAGCCAAAACTGTGTCTTACAGCAGTCTGGGGAGGACTCATCACGCCTTGCAGAACTACTCTCAGGCTGTGATGTACCTGCAGGAAGGTAAGAGGCTGAATTATGCAACACAGCATGTCATGGTAGGTGTGGCGGGGGTATAGGAGGGACGCCTGAAGACATGGAGAGAAGGGGGGTACTATGAGCATGGCACTAAGAGGATGTGTTTGACAGTGGCCTTTGGTGCAAAAGCTCTTGCACACATCCATAGCTGCTGTTGAGCATCCCTGTAAGTAGCTGTCCAAGCAGGCTGTTATGGTCAGCACGCCACGTCAGTCGGAATCTTCCTGGCATCCTGCAGACAAAGCATTGCAAAGCACAGTCTGTGCCTTCCTGGGGGCACCTCAGCTAGCTCTGAGCTTGAATCTGGACTGCGCTTGGCGGAGTCTCTTTATAAAACTTGTTTGTGCCTGAGCCTAGAAGGTATAAACCTTCTCTATAAATAGCATCACATAGCAGGAACTGGCTCTGGGATCAGGTCATGATGGATCTCTCTGATCCTGAGATCAGGTCTCAAACTGATGTGTGCCTTGCTGATCGCCATATGGCTCTTCCTTCTGCATTCAAGTGGGAGTGAGACCAGGTGAGTGTCCTCTAAGCTGTGAGTGAAAAAAAAGTTGTGTTTGATAGGGAGGTGAGGGAGGTTCAGCCCTCAGTGTCCGGAAGCCATCTGCCACTGCTGAGCGCTGGGGCCAGTGCTGGCTTGTGAGTTGTGCTGCTGCAAGGAATTCCACCATGCAAGCGGCATCTGTTCAAGGTGACGGCTCTCTCGTGGAGGAGATGCGCAGTGTAGCTGGAGTGTATGAAGCTGGAAGCTGAAATATTAATTATATCAGTTAGTGTGGTTTTCCTGAAACTGACCTTGGCAGGATTCCAGCATGCTGAGGGAATTCAATTAAATCGGAGGGGGAAAAATTAAACACAGCTCCTTCTCCTGGTGTGACGTAGAATTCCTGAAAAGCCTGCAAATGCTAGCTGCTGCTGAGCTGCGTGGTCGTGGCCAGGGCCCTGCTCCCCAGTCCATGGGAAACCTGCTGAGGTGCCTAAGAGGAGGCATCCCTGTTGTCAGCAGGGCCCACGGAGCTGAGAGGTTTGGAGCATGGTGGAAGAGGGGAATGACACAGAAAGTGCTGCTGCAAGTGACACGAGCTCCAGGTTATTCACGCCATGACCCTGCCTGCTGCTCTGGCTCGGTACAAAAAGCATGTGGAGCTGGTGCCGATTTGAGTGTCAGCAGCAACTGCCCCGCGCTGGCGCTGCCCTGCTCAGTGTCCTGCTGCGCGGCTGCTCTGCGCTGTCTCTGCCTCCGCAGGAGCCCAGGAGGCCCTGAGCCGGTGGCCTGCCCGGCTGCTGAGGTAGAAGTGCTCCACGGGGCTGCCGAGGCCCCTTCTCCACTTTGGCCCTCTCTCACTCTGACTTCTTTTCAGGACTGAGGCTGGCAGAGCAGCTGGGACGCAGAGAAGATGAAGCCAAAATCCGCCATGGCCTCGGCCTCTCCCTCTGGGCGAGTGGGAACCTGGAGGAGTCTCAGCACCAGGTATACCATGGTCTGCCCCGTGCCGGTGGGCTTGTGTCCTCTGAGCCCTTTGGGTCATTCTCGTCCTCAGGGGAGGAAATGTCTGGTGCCTCTTGGGCAGGGTGTGTAACACACTGAGCTGACTCAGGCCCACGTGCCTTCCTGCTCCATCCGAAGTCACCTCCCCTCTGCCGGGGATGCTGCCATCCTGAGGGCTGTCTGAGGCAGACCTCCCCTCCCTGAGGGTATATTGGCCCTGGATCCTCCCGCTGTCCCAGCCAGTGCTTTGTGCTGTGTCTGTAAGGAAGTCACCGTGGCTGTTTTCCCTCCCAGCTGTACCGGGCCTCGGCACTGTTTGAAACCATCCGACATGAGGTGCAGCTGAGCACAGATTACAAGCTGTCACTCTTCGACCTGCAGACATCCTCCTATCAGGCCCTGCAGCGGGTACTTGTCAGTCTCGGTAAGAGATGCCATCATATGCTGAGTCTGAACTTCAAGCTCATGCTAAGAGTTCAAATGAAGTTGTGGGGAGGCAGATCATGATACATCCTTCACTCCCCATCTGTCTGATGCAGCACAGCATTTCTTTGCTAGGACACAAATAAGGGTGTCCTGCTTTGGATTGCAGGCACTTCAGGATTTTCTTTCTTGCTTCCTCCATTCATTGGCCTTCCTGTGCCTCGTTTTCCCAAACATCGTGTTGTTGCCTGCAGCCAAGATGATCTGTGGGACTGTATCCCAACACAGAGATGACTCTTTCAAGGAATAAGTGTTGTGACCCTGCTTCCTCAAGTTTTATTTTGGGTTGGGAGTGCAGCCATCCCTGTTCCTGCACCGTGTGCTCCAGAACACATTTGTGTCAGGTCTGAGAGATAGCTTTGTCTTTTCCAGGTCACCATGATGAAGCTCTGGCAGTAGCAGAGAGAGGACGAACGAGGGCGTTTGCTGACTTGCTCGTGGAACGCCAGACTGGGCAGCAGGACTCTGATCCCTATTCTCCAGTGACCATTGACCAGGTCCTGGAGACAGTGAATGGCCAGAGGGGACTTGTTCTCTACTACTCACTGGCTGCAGGTTATCTGTACAGCTGGCTGCTGGCTCCTGGGGCAGGTGAGGTCCTTTTTGGAGATGAGAGCCTGTGAACAAGCCTTACAAAGGGAGAATTGTACCATTTGTAGCTAGGACTGAATCTAGGGCCAGAGTGAACGTCTGAGGGAATCCTTTCCATCTATTACCTTAGGGCTGAGTAGACCGAAAACTGTGGCGTAGCCACAGCGGTAATGACATAAAAGCGCTTGTTTAGGACTTTGATGTTCACCTGGAGATGGAAATGTTTCACATGTTTAATATTTCCATTTTTCAACCTCCAATCTGTATATATTTCCCACAGAGCAGTAATGAGATTCCAAGTATGTTGGTTCTGTGAGAATCTTCTGTGCATAAGAATCCCTACTTTAATTATATTTCTGTGCTTTATCCTTCCAAAAGCTTTTGACGTTTATTCACTCAAGTGGATTGCAGAAAACAGAAGGGCGTCCCCGCTTCCTGATAAGCCATTGAACTGCCTGATCCTCTGAATTCTCCTCATATGAATGTGGAAACACTTACCACAGAGGAGCAAGGAGGATTAATTTGAAGAGGATTGCTTTTTGCAGACAGCTGTTGTTCATTATCTAATAAAGTGATGACTGTAAATTTTCATGAGTTCTTTCTGGATATAATTTAATAATTGCAGCCCTTCACAATGACAAAGCTAAAGAGATAAAAAGCACTATTTAGATTGCACCAAAAGCACTTCAGGAAGGGAAGCAAACATTCACACATGCCTGACTTCAGATGGGATGACAGTGATTGGAAGATATGCTTTTTGGGAGTGTTTTGCAATGTTGCATGTGTAAGTGTAAGATGGCATTGTCCTGCTATGCATCCATTTGCTAATTGGCTCTTCAGGCCTGTAGTTTGCACAATAAGATGCCAGTAATTCTATAGTATTAATGTCAGGCTCAGCTTACTAAAATTATACAGATCAGAAATGTAGGGTTTGCCACTGGGCTTCCTGACCAGTCTTCTCCTTGCCCAAACTGGGTCTTGTAGAAAAGCAGTTGCACTCTTCAAGTACATGGGTTTGTGACTGCCTCCTTGAAGGCACTCTCAGGTGTTGGGAAGGAGAGGGACTGTGATGCTTCAAGGGTTCCACTTGAGCAGCTTTGCTGGGGAGCTCTGCCATAGTGACTCCAGCCCAGCTAGGTGACCTCGTTTCATTAGTGCTGATGGAGAGAGTAGCTTCAGTGGCACCCCAGGATCCTCATCTCCCACTGAGATGGTACCCTTAGAGCCTCTTCACTGATTCTGTATTTGCTGCTGTTGCTGCAGAAAGAGTTACTTTATTCCTCCAGTCTTGTTAACTGGTTTAATAATTTATACTGTCAAGGCAAACAGGGCATCCAGAGCAGCCTTTTACTGTTGATCATAGGCTGTAGAATTAATTACACCAGGAAGGATATGCCAGTCTAAGTGGAGGAAGGTTTTATCTGCAGTAGTAGTTGAATTCTTAACAAAACAGTGAGTGTCCTTTGTCTGGTTTACCCATTATGAAATGCTATCTTTTAATATTTTACTATGCATTAATCCATCGTTTTCTTTCTTTGTATATAATATATTTTCATGCATATGATTGAAATGAAAAATCTTCATGTGACGTGAGGAGGTTCTGCTGTAGTAGTAACACTTTTGTTCAGTATTTGAGCCTTGTGTGGTCAATTTATGTGATCAGAGGCTATTAATAGGTATTTTTCGTGTGCATCTATTGAAATGCTAATTACTCTGGTAGTTGCTTGTATGAAAGATCTGTTTTATAATTTATATGAGAGCTGCAATAGCAAATGCATTTTGAGCATCTCAAAAGCACTGCTCTGCCTTCATACCTTTGAGCCATCATCTGCAAAGCACAAAACCAGATTTTAAAAGCAAGGCTGTAATACAGAATGCTGGAAAAGCCCTGCGGAGACATGGAAAGGAATGCTTTGCCCCAGTTTTACTGGAAATACCAAATGCTAGGGATTGTGCCACCTTCCTAGACAGTTGCTGGCAGCACTTTTCCTGCCCTGCAGAAATAACCTCGTGATTCTGGTGCCTTGCAGGAATTCTGAAATTTCATGAGTATTATCTGGGTGACAGCCTGACAGAAAATGCCGGGGACTTCCATGAAGCCAACAGCGTGACCCTGCAAACAATAACAAACTCTGCACTGGAACAGTACATCTCAAGTGTGCGGGAGGCTCTGGGTGTGGATTCCTTCTATACCCGGTAAGGGGGAAGGGGGGGTGCGTGTGTGACATTCCGGTTCCCGCTCTGCCACCTGAAAGTGATTCATAACGGTCTGGGATGAGCTAATGGGCCGAGAAGTCCAAGAACTGAGAGTCAGAGTTGGGGTGAATTTTCATTGCAGCAACAAAAAAATTCCTTTATTTTTGTATCCATCTCTATATGCACATGCAAATAAGGTTTGAACCTATAGGCTGGATAATGAATCTATAGATTGGATGAGGAGGCAGATGCCATATCTGACTGTATATGGGCAGATTCCATCCTACTTACAGTTTCCAGTGTAATTAATTCCCTTTCAAAGATTTACTTATGAAAAACTGCAAATACCATAGGAATTCCATCCCCCCTCCAAATATGTTCCCTTGTGGCTATAGCTGAGTAAATAATTTACAGTGAATTAATCTATCTGATGAATTTCAGCAAAGAGGGAGGAACCTTACTCCAGTCCATTACTCGGGTCCCACAACTATGTTTCCTCATTTTTTTTATCCTATGGATTTATAAGAAGTCAGGCTTTTTTGCTTATACTCAGTCTCATGATTTCTTGTGGTATTTGGTTTGATTTATCGATTGGATGAGTATGAATATAGTTTCTATGCTGATATTTACAAGTAGTTTTTCTCTGGATGCTTCTGTCTGAAGAGCAGAGATGGAGATGTCCCTGTCCTAGTATGGTTTTTGTCAATGAAGCTACAGGGTAAAGGATGTGGCAACAGTTTAGCTTGCTGTCATAAGCGAACCTTACTACATAGTCATAAATTACTTTACTTCGGGGGGGGGTTAGTAACACAATGGCGGTTTGCAGGTCTACTTCACTACTGGTGCAAAGGGGACCTAAATGTATGGGTTGGCTGATGTGTTACCCAGCCCCCAAAACTGGTGTGAATGGAGGCGCTGGCTCTTTCAGGTTATACCATGTTTTAGTCTTTTTTTTAAACCATTTTGTGTTTTTCTGCAGCACCGAGATTTGTGAGTGAAACACTCTTGAGTCCCCAAGGCTGTGGACAAATGTCCTTTCCTCACCCAGTTGTGACGGTGAAAGCAGTAGCCCCCGTGAGCCGTTAGCAGCCGGTGTTAGAGGCTCCCACCCTGCAGATTGCTCTCTGTGCGTGACCCGCAGTCTGCAGGGGCAGTGCACACCTGAACCTGGTGTTCCAGGTAATGATGTTGGCCCAGAAAGAGGAAATGATGGCATTGATCCTCAAATCGATTTGTGGTCAGGGTTCTGTGGGCAACTGGGAAGCTGCCCACAGAAGCTAATTAATCCTTGTTCGTGTAATTGAATAGGAAATTGCTTTTGTAATAGCTACTGTAGGCAGCAAGTGCAGCTGCATAGGTGACACTGCAGTGGCGTGAGTGAGAGCATTGTTGTGCAGAAGACAGCAGTAAGACCAAGCTGTGCTTTGTAGTCTGCTCACCAGCAGTGTCCTCAGCTTCTTCCCCTTGATGCTCACACCTTAATCTGACAGGCTGGGAATTTTCCGTCGGATCGAAATAAGAAATAACCCCAGGCCTGAAGTTTCCCATTAGGTGTTTCAACTATGTAGAATTTCCTAGTTGGTTTCCCCAGGGCTTGCTCCAGTCTCTCACAAATTAATTCTGCCCTTGGGGTAGGGGGAACATGACACTTGGTTGTGTTACGTCCCCAGTACCAGTAAGAAAATCAGTTGCAGTTAGCTCACTGGGTTTGAAGCTCTGAGAGGGCTGCAGACCTGTGTGCCTAGCACAGAAGGTGAGTCCCTCTGTGCTTTTTCTTTCATGGGAGCATCAGATGCTGGAAGGGAGCTGGAAGTCATCAGAGGTTCTGGACTCAGGCCTGGTAGACTGCCTTTGTTATTTTCACTGATTTCAAAGTAAATTAAAGAATGTCTCTCTATGCTGGGATGCTGAATGTGTCCGGAAAGGTTTGCAAGACAGGATGGGCTCAGGTTGTGGTGAAACATTCTCCTGTTTTTACCTTTCTTTAGGGAACTGAAAAGAAAGCGCTGCCTAAGATTTTTTTTTTTTTCCTTCAAAGAGCCACTGCCAAGCTGCTTAGTATGAGCACTGGGTTGCAAGTCAGGAATGAGCGCTGTACACTTCGTGTGTGACGTCTGAGGTCTGGCCAAGCCTTGCCGCTGTTGTCCAGCTTCTCTGAGACAGCAGCTCTCCTGCCTTAGGCCACTGCGAGAGACGTGGGCTGGGACAGTCACAGCATGAGCTGGCATTGTCTCTCTGGCTTACCCTCTGTCGGGAGGACTGCTTCAGCCTTCTGGCATGCGGCTGTCCACTCTGCTCTCGGGCTGGAAGCGTTTCCCTCTGGGATAACCCGCAGCTCTGGCAGGACTTTGAAGGCTTTGGGACCTTTCTGGTTTGGGTGTGGGGTGGGACTGGTGCTGCCATGGCACAGAGCGGCAGACAGCTGTGTGTGCAAGCACACGTTTTCTGTGGTTCCCAGGGAAGAGTCTGAGTTGTGTTGCGAGGTGAGCGCTGGGTGTCTGCTGGCTGCACTTGGGAACACAGCTGGTGTTTCCCGGCGAGGGCTTAAACAACAGAAAGTTTGAACAGAAATAACATGTTCCCGTTCACGCATACAAAATGCTGCAAAACAGCCATTATTCCTGCTTGTCCAGGAACATCTGCAAAATATGAATTGTGACGCTTTTAAAACTTTCAAGAAAAAAAATCTGCAGAATGACACTGGCTGAGCCTAGCATGATTTCAGCTCAGAGTTGTTAGCCAAGAAACCTCATTAAAATAAAAAAAAAAAGACCAAAAAATACCAAGGATCTGTATATCAGTCCGCTGCTTGGAAGATTCTTGGCAACTGGTTAAACATTTATATGCAATTTATGAATGGAATTAATTTCCCAATAATTGTCTATATTTACATAATGCTGTCAGCCCTGAGCACTATTACTGGCATTATATCCAACTTCAATAGAGAAGTTTGTCACCTGTGCTACCAGAAAAGAGCTTGTCCAGAATTCTGCCATCTTGAGGGGAGATCTCAGGATTTTTGCTGTGTTTTGGGGCAGTTGGATTTGTTTGGTTTTGGTTTTAACAGGATGGCCATGGTGTCAGTCTCCTAAAGAACACAAGATTTTTTTTTTCCCATCTTTTAGTGGAAATCTGCCCCAAAAACTGCCAGTCAGTCACCTGCTACATAAATTACTCATGGGTTTCTGCAATATTATCTGCAAAATTGTTTTAGACACCCCTGTTATCATTAAAATTAACTTAATCTTGTAAGAGCTTGACAAGTTTTACAGTCCCAGAGTCTTCAGGCAGTGACAAACTGAAGACAGATCAAAATCTTTGAGACACTGCTTCAGAGCACTAAAACCTCGCAGGCCATAACCCATGGCATTTTCTTAAGAAGTGTGGGCAGCAGAATAAAAGCAGATTTGTGGCCATATTTGACTGGCCAAGTTGCAAAGGAGGAGGAAAGTAAACCTCTCTCCAAACCAGAAAAACCTAAAATGAGTCATGGATTAGTCTCCCAGACAAAAGAGGAAAGTTCATAAGAGGCAAAAAGACGTGGCTGAATTAGGATGGACAACGTGTATCTAGAACTTCCCTGCTTCACTGCCCGAGTCTCCAAGGAGGGAAGTGATGTCAGGGTGATACATGTGGTTTTGCAGCTAGGAGATAGATAAAGGCATGGGGTCTGACGTTTAATTTCTCTCCTGAGGGTTTTGGGGTAGCGGCACAATGATTTTCTTTGCCTTTCTCATTCTTCTACTGCTATCTATAAACATTTTTGTAATCACAACGCTGATTATCCGTAAGTCATGATACAAGATGATTAGAAAAAAATCTATACTACTATTCTGAAAACTTCTGGTGACTATGGTGTTTATCCTGTTTATCTGAGCATGACATTGGAGTCTGAAGTTCCTTTGGAGAGTCACTGAGCATTTAGTATTGCCATTGGGGAAGGACGAGCTTTAGTCATCCATGGAACAAGGGATTCAGGGGGTGCAGTCTGGCTAATGCAGAACTCCCAAGTGTTACTGAAATACTGGCAGTATCTCTAACAGATTTTGAGCATGAACAGATGAGTTCCTGCTGTTGGTAGCCAAACAGTGGCATCATAGGCACAGTGAGCCTATGGTCAGCAGTCAGGTTGGACTTACACTCTTTGTCCTGAACTCAATCTGAGCTTGCCAAACAAGTCTCACAAGGGCATTGGCAGGACTGTGTCTGTAAACAGTGCGTGCGGCTGAGATGGGTATGTGCTTAACTCATAATGTTGAGGCAGTTGGAAACCAGAAGTAGTGACAGCCAACTCGTCTCCAGTGATACCCACATCTGTATGTATTGGATTTATGGTTGTGTCTCATTTGGATGCGTTTTGGATTTGTACTTTCTAAAAAGGTACACAAACTTTTATGATTGTAAAGGTGGCTTTCCGAAGGGCAACAAATATTTTTTACGGCTGATTGGATTATTCATCTCACTGTGAGCAGTAGCAAACTGCTTCTTAGTCCAGGGTTTTTATTAAGTACTCTGAGAAAGAGCAAAGGGTCTCTCAGCCAGCTGAGTACTTGAAACATAAGGGAACAGACATGCACAGGGGAGTAGCTTCCTTCATGTTAAAGCCCTGAGAAAGGGCTACAAGCACATAAGCACTACTATCCAAATAATGATAATCATGAAATTATTGCTAAGGTATAAATGGTATTTTTAAGCAGTTGTGGTGGTGGTGCCTAGGGCTTTTGGGTTCTTACATAAAGTCTGTTCTGAGACTTCTGTTACCTGCAGTCATATCTTCCAAATTACATGTTTCAAGTCTTGCTTGAAAATGAGTTGTGTGACTCCCATTAAAGGAAATTAAAAGTTACTCCCTCCAGCCTTCATGTTTCCTGTGTCTTGCAGATGTGTTCTGGATGTTGACGCTTCATCTAGTTCTGTCTCGTATGTGCATGTGGACCATGAGCTCTCTTTTCTTTCTGGGAGAATAGTCACTCCCTCAAGTGTGAATACTGACAGGAGGGACAAGGGGCGGGGGGAACCAGACTGAATTGATTCCATCTACCCTTCTCCTAAAGCATCAGGGTTGTGTGATTCAGAAGGTTACATCTATCTCCACATGTTGGTTGAATCTTACCGTCTAGATACACACATATACACAACCAAAGTCTGCAGTTAATGCCTCGTGTAACAGATTTTCAGATACTGTTTTTGGTTCCATTAACCATTTGTCACCACAGATTCTCTTTCTGGCAAAGGGAGTCCTTCAGTCTTTAGATTCTGGGGTGAGTTTTTAATTTACTATGATGTCAGCTTCTTTCTCTCTTCGTGGTGATGGTAGTGAAATGTTTTTGGTTTAAGGATTCTGGGTTGAATGCTTTTTTCTGAGATCATTGGGCTGGTGTGGTATGATCACAGGCAGAAGCTGTTTCCCCACTTCAAAATTACATGCAGGGAATTAAACAAACAAATCCTGTCTGTTCCATGTGAGTGAACGTCATGTTCTGCTTTGAAACTTTCCCCACATGGACCAAGTGCTTCCCTACAGCATTGCTGATTGCCACCATGCTCCAGCACACCAGACGCCCAGGAGAAGCTGTCATCTGCTGTCCCTGGAACCTGTTCTCTGCCTACCAGCAGAGAACAGAGGGGTTTAAATATGTATAGCACACATGTGAAACCTTTTGCTTGACTTCTCAGTTCATAGCTTGCTTAAGTGCACTGTAGCTTTTGTTTTTGAATTTAAGTGCCATTTCCTTCCATAATGATGTAAGCACGTTTATAGGTACTGTTGCATCTCCGAGTGGCACATCTTCCCATTTTCTGCTCCTGGAGAGGAAGGAATGCTGTCATGGGATGCGTCACCAGGATTTTGCTGTGGTGGTGTTCAGTCCCACGCTGCAGCCTTCGCTTTGTGCTGGACATGGTTCCTTTCAGCTGGTGTCATGAAGCTGACAAATAACACATACTTGCAAAGAAATAAAGTGTGAGGGACTTTAAAGTATAGTTGAGCTTGTGTTGAGACAGACTCCTTTCTCTCTAGGGAGAGCATGTGGCCTGTTCTCCTGGGTTCATGAACTCAAGATTTTTGCCTCTTAAAGGAGCTGCAAATACTCATTGTGAGTGTTACTCAAAACTGTGCCAGGACTCAAAACTGAACATGTCTGCAGCTGGAGGGAAAATGTGCAAGAGGCAGCTGTGAACAACCTTTTCTTTTTCCTTTTCTTTCCTTTTTTTTTTTTTTCTTTTTTCCCCTTGATTGTTGTTCAGCTAGCCCCATTTCAGTGTTCATGAAGTGATTGGCTTTTGTCAGGACTTATTCTTTCAGGTTATTAAATTATATTGACCTGGAAGTATGCTTACAAGAGATTCTGTGGTCCATACAGCAGCATAGGAGCAATTCTGGTTGCCTGGACAAGTACATGTTGTGTGTTAATTTGATTCATGTGCTCTTTATTGGAAAATGTGCCCTTGAGGAAAAGCTCCAAGTTGTCGGAATGCAAAAGGAATCAAAAATGAGATGCAAGGCGAATTCAGCAGGTGGCATACCAGATTTAGCTTAAGTGTACAAATTCCAGGGTTTGTGATATGCTATATAATATGCAAATTATTTATTCAGTTAAAGGGAGGGATTGTTAAAAATGCACACACAATAGTTGTGCTTGCTTTCTGCTTTTAGAAAGAAGAGAAAATGCTAACAGCAATTTAACAGAAAATTACACCGAGATGATAATTTAGATATTAATGTCAGGAGATGGAAAAATTATAAAATTTGGACTCTCTATTTGGACTGTATTGCTGCACTCCTGATGGCATTGATAGAGTGGGGTTTTTTTCTCTGTGCTTCCCCTGTTTGTATAACAGGAACAGCAACACAGCTACCTTTTTTATGTTGTGCTTTGCCAGTGAAGGAAGCATACAGAGCTTGGAGTTGTTATTGTGGAAATCTGAAAAGGATGCACCAACACGTTCTTAGGCAAATCAAGGGCTGAGCTAGTGTTCCCTGCAGAGCTCAGCTTTTCGGTGTTGTGCTACAGCTTCAAAAGTCCATACCTGCAGCACATGGGAATTTGGGTCCTATGTTTCCATCAGTGGGTGCCACTCTTTAAACCTTGAAGAATGCCTAGGAGAAGAGGAGGGGATGGGATTGTAACTCTGTTGTATGCCTAACAGGAGGAGGTGGTGCAATCCAGGGAAAATTTGACTTTAGCATTGGTTGAGGTTGTGTCTGAAAAACATTGTCTCTCACACTGGCTGAACATCTGTCACAAGGCTATTGCTCTGTCTTGCGTCAATGACTACTTCACCTCGCTGTTCCCCCTGCAGAGCCTGTGCCAGTAGTGAGACTGAGAGTGAAGCTGGGGATATCATGGACCAACAGTTTGAGGAGATGAATAACAAGCTGAACTCAATGACTGATCCGACTGGCTTCCTGAGGATGGTCAGTAGGAACAATCTCTTGAACAGGTGAGAATACAGCACTGCACTGTGGGGATCAGCAGGCAGAATGAGACGTCTTGATGAGGGCTTCTCTCTGAATTGCAGGTTTAGGGTGCAGCTGATGCCATTGCTCATGGTCTCTCTATTGCCCTGAGTAGTGGGGGCACAGAGCAGCTAACTGATACTGTCCTTTATGGTTGCAGCAACCATCCATTCTTCACAGCATGGATGTATGGGGAACATTAAGCATTTCTCTTAGGAATAAGGTCCGTACGTTAGTACTGTGGAGCACTCTCCCCTTCTGAGCAGATGAGCCCATAGGCCTTTCCTTTCTGTCCTTTTATTTTGTGTTCATGTGGTGCATTGAGAATTTCTCCCTCCTTCAGGAGAGCTCTGCATCTCATTCCTGATGAGATTAGGAATCCATTAGCACCTAGTGTTGCATGTGCATCCAGCCTGGGAGCTTCAGGTGCCTGGTGGCCTTCCACAGACAGGCGGCCTGTTGGGGGTTGGTTTTGCTCTACAGACTGAAGCGTTGGATGCAAGGGACAAAGAAGCCCTGACAGGTCCTGGAAGAACATGGGGTCCTGTTGCTTCCTTCTTCAGAAGTAGAAGTCTTTCGTAGAAAGGAAGCGGGACAGGGACTGAAAGCATTGTTGTGCCTCTTGTGGGAGGGGGGACGCCAGGCACAGGTAGAGACTTCGGTAGGACTATCTGTTTCACTTAACAACTCAGTAGCTTGGTCTGGGAGATGTAGAGGGTGGCATCTTCATTGCCTATCTTGGTGAATTTCATAACTTAAGATAATAGCCAGCAAAGACTTGTCAGTAATTGTTAACTGATAACTCTGTCCTGAGGGGCAGCTATTTCAAATTTGCTCTTCTCCTGCCCAAGCACTGGTTTTGACTGTCTGAAGAATTGCAGGGGAACTCTGTTTTGTCCCTGCTGTCTGTGAGGTGTGAAGCTTGGAGCTCTCTGCTACACACTTTTTACAGAAATAATTGCTTCTGTTATCTTAACTATTGTACTAACTAGCTGGGAGTATGCTGCATTTCCAGTTACAGGACTGTTCTAGCTGCACAGTCTCCACTCATTTTCTGCCTCTTATGCCTTGCTCAGGTCTCAGTCTTTCACATTACAGTGCTGATTAGGGCAAGCATTTGAAATGAAAATTGGCAACAGATTTTTTTCCAGTGTTACCACTCCCCCAGTGGAGAGGGGCTGCATGATGTAACCCGGGATTTCTGACAAGATCTGTGTTCCAGCATGGATTGTGAGCATAGCATACCCCAGGACTTTCTCAGCTGGAAAATAAAATGCAATCAGCCTGCAGTGTTGTGAGCCATCTCTGGAGCTTGTGAGCTGTAACAGCATCCCCATGAAACTGGGAGCTGCCTGTTGGCACCAACAAGTGGCCTGTTTTTCTTTCCAGAATCCACATGCCTATCTGTTCAAGCTGCTGCATTGATGATGAACTATGAGTACTTGCTAGTTTGGGATCAAACAGGCAGATCCCCAGGATTGCTGAGGTGTTTTGCTAGTTCATCAGGTTTAGAAGGACAGGAGAATGCCCCTCTGATTGCAGGGGATAAATATGATCCAGTTCTGCTCCAGGGAATGCTAATCCTCAGGAATAATGCAGAGGCCAACCATGCACCATCTATGTCTTTCTGCTCCATAGGAGCCAAATCCATTACCTTGAACCCACAGCCAGGAGCTTACCTCAGGTGCCTTGTCAGGTAATGAGTATGCAGCTTTTAGGAGAAGCTCAGGGATGTGGCAATTCGGGCACTTAAGTAAAAGCACCCTCACCAAGATCATCAGGAAGAGCAGTAGAAGCATCCACATATTTGATGTTCTTGCTATGAGCACTGAGATGAAGAGAAGGAGAACACACTGCTGTATGGCCTGCCTGCCCACCTTTTGCCTGCAAATGGGGATATACCAGAGGACTCTAGTGGCAAAATAAATGCTGCCACGTCTGTTTTGCACCTAGCTTGCTGAGCCCTGAGTTCAGGGTAGATGCTGTGGTCCTGCCCATGCCTTTGAATACCTCCTGTACTTAATGTCTGCTCCAGTCCCAGAGATGATCAAGCTGCAGGCTACAGAGTCTAGAAGGGCACTGTAGAAAGCATTAGCTGGCCTCCTGCGATACTGTGTGGTTCTTTATAATTAAGCTGTGCAGAGAGTAGTATGGCTCATGGCATGCAGCACATCAAGCTTGGGACAACAAGATGTCCTTGCAAGAGTCCTGAAGCTTCAGGAAGGAAGCAGATGAAAATCTGCTTGGAAGAGAACAGATTAAGAAATAAAATGGGAGCAGGCAGCATTTCTGTGCGCTGGCCTAGAGCTCTAACAAGGAATTGCGAGCTCTTAGGCTTTCGTTAAGCAACAGAATTCAATGGTTAGAGCACAAGCTGTCATCTTGCAGCTCCAGACTGCAGCTCACCTCCTCTGTGCAATGGCTTTTCTGCCATACGGTGCTGGAGTGAGTTCATGGAGCTGTAGGTCAATGCTGAGTGGATTGTTGCTGCTGCAGTACTTCAGAGGATGGTAAAATTGTGGCTCACAAGCAGTGACTGAAGGTACGGTGTCTGTTTGCTTTGACTTCGGCACTGCAGGGGACAAAGAGGAGTAGGGCCTGCTTGGAGCTGAGAATAAGCGCTTGTCTTCCCTACTGCCAAGGCAGGCCCTGCATTCCTCATGTGGGGCCTGAATGCATGTTCACATCTTGTGCTTGAATGCTGGAGATGCTCAAGGGAGTTTGCATGGCTTGGAGCCAGCGCAAGTTCCCTCACGCACAGGAATTGCACATGCTGTTAAGGTCCCATGTTAGAAAATGAGGCCCTGGAGATGCTGGGACTGTTTGGAGCCATCCAGTCTCCATGTCTAGCAACAAGAGGGTGACTGAAAGGAAGCCCTTGGGTTGTGGCGGGTGCCCTCTGGCTGCTGTCATCAGGTAACCTGGCTTTTACACAGAGAATAGTGTGATTTTTTTTTTTTTTTGGCAATTCTGCATAGAAAAGCAAAAATGTGGGGCTTTGGCAGTTAACTTAGGGTACTTCTGAGAAAAAATGGACTTTGGGGAGAAAGATGCACTGTAGGGATGCTGCAATGATCTCAGTACTGGGCAATAGCTGTCCAAGCTGTGGATGCCACTGAAAGAGCTCCCAAGATAGTCCCCGTTGCTCATGTCTTTATGCAGCGTCTGTTTTCTCTGCTCCTTAGGGCTTTTAGACTTTTGTTGGGTTTCCAGATTAAAATCTGGTCTCTTCCCCGCTAGTCATTTTCTGCTGCAGCAAGGGACTTGGTCACTGCCTGTACCTGAATATAGCTCCCTCACCTTTTCTTTGGCCTCTGCACCATCATGGGGATACAGTTTGTCCTCCTTCCATGTACCTGCAGAAAACATGAGAATCAGCCCTGATGCTGCTCAAAGGGTAAAATATACTTCCTTGAGGGCAATTTTTGCAATGCAGCGTACAGAGAATTTGTAAAAGGCAAATTGGGATGTAAGGAGCAATATAACTTGAGATGAAAATTCACTTCTGCCAAGGCCATTGCTATCTCCCAGCTCCCCTTATGATTGCAAACAGCTTGTGTTTTTCCAGCAGAGTCAGCACGCTCAGGGTCCATGGCCAGTCCTTACGAGCATAGTTGGAGATTTCCAGAGCAAGCTCAGTGCCCCAGTAAGAGTAAAGTCTCTATGAATCCAGCCAGAGGAATCTAGCAGAAGGTGCCTTCGCGTGGAGCCTCAGCAGCAGTAAAAACACGGCTATTGCCAAGATACTGTTTCACCTCTTTTTGCTCAGGATTTCATCCTGGTGACCATCATGTGATGTCTGAGCATGTCTCCCCTCTCTTCTTGGTGTGGGACCCTACCTCTGTGTTGATTTTGGCCCTGTTGGCTGTGCTTATGTCATCACACAGCAAGGACCAGCTGCTCCCTAATGGATGGGGAGTCAAGAGCCAGGTGCAGCAGCAGAGCTGGTGGGGCAGGGGCCACACCAGCAGGACCCATCCCACAGTACCCAGTGAAGTGAGCAGGGCAGACCTGGGGATGGCAGCCAGGGTCAGCCAAGAGTCCAGATCATCAGGCATGTGCCTGGTGAGGGGGCAGGTCTGAGGTCAGGCCAGGTGTGCAAGTGTACTGGTCAGGGTCAGGTCCAGTAGCAGTAACTGAGGTCAGACACGGCCCACTGATGGCTGTGGGGTCCTTTGGGAGGGGACAGGTCTGAGGGGATCTTGGTCAGCAGGCCAGGCTCTGGGTTGGTGGGGTTCATGGGCCCACACAGGCAGGGCTGTGATGGAGCTGGAGACAAGCAAACCTGCAGCATAGCTGAAGCAGAGACAAAAGGCTCAGACCCCAGTTTAAATGGAGCTCTTGGGCTCATGGGCAGGGCCTGTTGATGAAGGCCCCGTTCAAGCTGATCAGGGTTGTTAAAGCCTATGAATACCCTCAGGAGCCTGACAGCTTGTCCTGGGGAATGGTGCAGCTGACCCCCGCTGGAGCAGAGGGATAAAGGGTTAGCAGGGACGCTGGCTGGCCCAGGACGAAGCGAGGTCTTTGGAAGGCAGATAGGAAAGCAGTGGCTGGGGAGTCTATCTTTCTGGTTCTCTACCATACAGGGTGCAGCGCTGCAGCTGCCCAAGCACAGACCACACAAGCAGAGAGTGCTGGGTGGTCTGTGGGTTTTGTGCAACCACTGGTGGGTTCTGGAGATGATTGCAGATCCTTGAAAGCATCCACAGGGAGCTTGTATCTGAATGTTTTCTGGAGCTTCCCACAGCTTGGTTTTGTGAGTGTGTCAAGGCCCTGAATATATATTTGGGGCTGCATCTCTAGCAAGGGTCTTTTTTGAGGAAGCCTTGCAGAATGACACGCCTGATTGATACCCATTGTCCTGAGCCTGTCAGACCACTGCAGCCGTAAGTCTGACTCCCAGCCCTCCAGGGTGGCTGTGCTTAGTCATGAGGAGTATTTGACGAGAGTCCTGATGAGTATCAAGTTATTTGTCCAGAGTCCTAATGAGTGCCAAGGCAAAAGCAGCTCTGTGCTGATTGTGGCATGAACTCCTTCTTCCTGCCCGTGAACACACATTCATCCCCTGCAAGCAGAGCAATGCCCTGTGAGGCTAGTTGTAGGCCAAATCCATCCAGCTTGCATGACACTGGCTTTCTTCCCCTTTCTCTGAGGTTGTCCTGGGATCATTGCTGTGTTCTTGCATCGCCTAGACAAAAGGCGGAAGCAGAGTTAACGCTGACATATGCAGGCAGTCCTGAGTCCCAACGTGTGCTGTTTCCTCTGTTTGCTGCAGGTCAGGCTGCCTTATAAAAAGGTTATAAATAAGCAGCACTGTGGAGTCCGTGCAGAGGCTTCCAAATGAGAGACTTTACTGTTCCAGAAATCAGGGGACCCCTCTACGTTGCAAAAGCAAGGTAGAAGTGATCAGTGCAGCATCCCAGAAGCCAGCACTGGTGGCACTCCGTAGAAGGGGCATTTGGCCAAAAGATTCAAAAGACTCCCTCTTGCCACCTTGAAATCACCTGGGCTCAGATGCCTGAGAAACCACCTGGAGAGCCGTTTGTTTTGCACTGGTTTAGGAGGAAAGGAACTGGCCTGGCCAGGGCTCCAGGTCTGCTCTGCCTACTACAAAAGATCTCTGTCCATCCTCCCCCTATGGATTTTCTCACTCTTCTTTGTGTACATAAACAGGCAAGAGATGTGAAAGATTTATGATACTCCCTTGGTTTTGTTCTAATAAAAAGCAATCCAAGTGGTGAAGGAATAAATCTAGAGCTGCTTGGCTGTGAAACCAAGATGAAGGAGGCTCTGCTGATTTAGAGTAATCAAGCCCCTATTCCGCGAGTAAGTTAGTGTGTTAAACACAGGAGGTGAGGCTGGCGAGTGCCACCTGCTGGCAAGTAGCAGCTGCTTGGGCAGGTCAGGGCTGTTGTGCTTGGACTAAAGCTCTGCCTGCTCACTGGTTCCTAGGTAAGCAGTGGGGTGTCCCTGCCCTTCTAGACTGGTATATCAGGCAGGGTATACCAGAGGGATGTGCTTTGAGCAAAGGGTTCAGGGCACTAGAAATGTGTGAGATTGGGAAAGCACAGTGTCTATTTCCTGATCTGGTTTAAAATCTGTGCTACATAAAGTATGGAAACAACTGAGCACTGCAAAGTGTGCTGGACTCAGCCAGCTGCTGCAGTGAAGCTAGGTAGAGGGGTCCAGAGGGGAGCAGACAGTGCTGAGTCCATGCTGATCTTGCAATGAACCTGGTATTGTGCAAGTCACCTAGTCAAGTTTTCAGCAGCTCTGAGTAGCAGCAGCATGCTCGTACTTTTACCAGAATCTCTGCATTGGAGAGCATGGGTAGATGGACACCAGGCTTCCGTTTGCATTCTTAAATTACTTGTTAGTGGGGAGCATGGGAGGCAGCATCGTTTTTTCTTTAGAGAATGGCTTTTAGACATGATATGAGCTGGGTCTGGGGATTGGTTGCAGCAACTGAGGAGAGAAAGAGAGGGGAGAAGAAAATTTTCTGAATCTGTCTGTTGGTATGTGTCAGAAAAGGTCAGAGGTATGTCTCAGGCCTGTAGTTTGTCAATGGTAGCAGTGCACTTGAGTGCAACGTTTTTGCTCTCCTTGGCTTTTCCTACATGCTGGCTTAATCTGGTAGGGGGAAGAGACACTGTACCTGTATATGTAAGTGTGTGTGTAGGTGTATCTGCTGTAGGCATCTATATATGCATACTCACAAATATATATACCTGTAGCAATTATGCAATCAACTGTTACTATAACTCATTGATTAACATATCTGTTGGGTGCTGAGTTTTCTTTTGATTTCCTGGATGTGCAAATATTTCCTGTTTTTATTTATTTTCTGTGTTGATAGCCAAGAATTGGTACAGGCAAGAGGTAAAATAAGGAACAGAGACAAGGCATTTCCTCTGAGCAAATGTTCTTAAAAAAAGGACATTGCAGACTAGTATCCTGACAAAGTGTGTGAGTTTGGTCATGAATCAGGAAACTATAGCTGCTTTCCTGTTGTGTAAATTGGCAAAGGCACATAGCATTGGAAGGTGTCTGAGAGGCAAAACATTGCTGTGCTTCACGGACACCAAGAATGGAGGGAAGCTTTCTCTGCACAGCAGCATCAGAGTATGATCTAGACTGGGATTTCATGGAACCCCTCCATCAAATAGATTTGGCACCTTGAGGACAACAGGGCATGTGTTGCCTCATGGGTGGCCTTTTATGCTTGAGATTGTTGTGTTTGTTACTGGACAGCCCCAGTGGTGACTCTGGTTACACTTCAGACCTTGCACTACCATTACCTTTCAATGTCTTATTTCCTTCCCTGCCTTTTCTTTAAGGCCCACCTGTTAAAACTTTCTGGAAAGTTGTCCTTTTCACATAAAATGGTTGTTCTTGGCACCAAACCAAGGATAACCTTTCTGGGGAGCACAGCTGCTGTAAGACCAGAATGGGGCAACATCATTTCCTCAACAGGGCAATAACTTTTTGTAGCCATGCTGTCTCACTCTTCTCAGCGTGATGGTGTTTGGTGGCTGGGGATGATGCCAGGAGAGCATGTGCAGAGCTCTGTCTGTGGAGATGTTAGAAATGGGCTCCAGGTCAGTTCTTGCATCTGACTTCATGGAGCCATTCAGAGGAGTGATAGCAAGTGCAGGCGTCATCTTCATGCTGCCTTGTTTGCCTGTTGTCATATTTCCTTTTGGTACCGTGCTAGATTAGTTGGTGCAAAACCCAAGCACAAATCCTCCTGTGATTGCAGTCAGTTGTTTATGGGTCTCATGTTTGCCTGCACACAACCACTATACGTAGGTATGCAACGAACAGCACTTCAGGCACTTGAGAGACACTCCATGGCAAAGTAATATGCTGTCTGCAACTGGTTCACCCTGCCATTAATGTCATTGTTCATTGTGGCATGAAGCTGAATGGGAGCCCTGCCATGCAGCATCATACGGAACACAATCCTCTGGATGGGCAGGGACTGGCTCATCATCAGTGTTAGGACGACAAGGCAGCCTGTAGTGGACCTCAGGTTTCTGTAACTAACCTCTCACTTGCCTTTTGCCCACAGGAGCTGTCAGAGCATGACCAGTCTGTTCAGCAGTACCATGTCTCCTGTTAAGGATGGAACATCATCTCTTCCAAGGAGACAGACTTCCTTCACCAAGCCCCCTCTCCGTGCACTCTACGACTTATTGATAGGACCTATGGAAGGAGTAAGCCTTTGGCGCGGACAAAAAAAAATGAAGAGATTCACTTACCAAAATCCTCTGACAATGTGGGAAAGCAAGAATAGGCAGCTTTGGGGATTGTATCTGAAGTGTGGTGGTTTTCACTTGGTCTTCCCAGATGGTGAGACCAGGGTGTTGGGAGGTGGAAACAAGGAGTGTTGCTGTTGATGCCACTTCCAGTCAGCTGCCAAAGTATAACGCTTCTCATGAACCTGAGCAGGAAGTTTATCCTTAATTGACTAGTCCTCATTGGCAAACTCAGCAGTTCTATCTAGAGACAAATGGGTCAGGGAGATAGAAAAAAAGCAGTACTGGAAGCCCAGCAGCACCACTGGCCCACCTTGTGCTGCTTGCTGCCATGTTGTGCCATACTGGCAGCCCGACAAGCTGGGCCTTGCTCTCTCTCCACCCCAGGGGTTGGTGCTTTTGCAAGGAGGTGGACGTGCTCCTGGCATGTGCCGGCAGCAGCGGTTGGGAGTTGCTGCTGGGGCTGGTCAGGCGTTCGGCAGCCCGCTGGGTTCACGGACAGTGTCCCAGCACTCGGCCCATTCAGGGCCCTACTCTGCGCGTGGTGGTGCTGCACCGGGGCACCTGCCAGCGCAGGGGTGGAGGACGCAGGCCCTGGCATCGTCCTGTGCTGGTGGATCACAGGGTGAATGCAGAAGCAAAGGGAAGCTGTGTGGCACGGTGTCCTGCAGCAGCCCTGGCCAGCCCATGCGGGAGGCCAGGAACAGCAGCGTAGCCCCTGGTTCCAGTCTCATGGAGCAGTGGTTATTTTAAAGGCTGTTTGGATGCTTTAATCTTGTGGAGCCATAAACCTTTGTGAGCCTGAGCCTTTGTTAGCTCTGTCAGCCTGCCATCGCGCGGTCACGCTGTGAATTTTGGAGAGCGGCGCCTTCTGCTCCAGAGGCTGCACGTGCATCCTTTTTCCAGGGCGAGGAGGTCAGCCTTGTTTATGGATTTTCTCTGTCATCTTCTGTGGCATTCTTGAGAAAGCTTCACCTGGGAGTTTAACGCCTGCCTACACCTAGTGTAAATAGGTAAGACAGGCCGGGAAGAAATCCTCATGGGGAACCCCTGGAGCCTGCTCCTCCTTCCCAGTGAGGATGCACTGTGGCTGGGCACTGTGTGGCAGGTTTGGGTGCCTGAGGCCCAGAGCTGGCTCTGCTAAGGTACTATAGGGCTTGGCCGGGCTTTCAGAGAGTGCAGCGTTAGCAGATACAGGCTCCTTACTAGCCTCTTTCTAAGAAGCTACAGTTCAGGTCTTCTGTGTGGTTTAGCAGTCCCATTATAATGGAAACTTCCATTATAGCAACACTAGCTGCAGGTGCAGGACCGATCCAAGCCAGCAGCTGTCGGCAGGCCTAACCTTGCACAGCTGTGCTCCCCGCAAGTGATGGACCAGAGACTTTTCCACCTTCATGACAAATCGCCAGTGTAGCCAGTATCGCTGCTATGAAGTAGAGGACATGTTCCTGTGCTTGGCAGTTCATGCTTTTCTCCTTTTCCTCACTGAAGAGATTCTTTATTGTTAGAACTCATCCTAAAATTAATTCTTGGAGACATATGGAACACAAATGATCCTCATAGTTTTATTTCTGTTTCTGTAATGCACATACAGCCATCGTAAGGAAAAAAAAAATAAACTCTGGGATTTTTACATACAAATTAAAAATTCTGTTAGGCACATGTCACTATGGCTCAGATGCTCTGATTGTGTTGCTGACAGCCAAAGCTCCTGGAGCAGTAAGTAAAATGGAATATGTATTTAAAAAAAAAAAAAAACAAACCCAAAACCACCCAAAAACATGAGTGGGAAGCTGCTGCTTGTCAACTTGGGCTCTGCAGAAAGAGGCACGGCTGAATGGAGGCTGGTAGATTTAGCTGCGGAGCACGCTTGCTGGTTCACCCCATGAAGTGGGGGCCTCCCTTGGGGCTGCTGGGGTTGTAAACAGCGTGTCAGGATGGAGTGGAGGTGGTTCTCAGGAAGGCTCCTGAGGCAGCCGTGTGTCAGCAACTGCCCTGCATCTCCCTCACCAGTCTGTGGGGCAGGCTGAGCTCCAGAGCTGTAAGGAGGACAGGAGAAACAGCAAGAGGTCAGCAACTATTTTTAACTCCTTTTAAATGAAAATGTTCTTATCCTTCAGCAGTTTTGTTCCCACTTCAAATGATAAGAAGCCTTTAAAAGCATCTTGCTGTCTCTCTTCAACTTTCTACTGTTTGACATTCTTCCTCATAGCTGACCCGATTTCTGACTTGCTCCATACTCCTTTTGGAGGAGATTGCCGAACGGATTTTTCTATTTCTATTTAGTAATGTTCTTTCATCTGTGCTGCTACCTGAGAACTAAAGCTTGAGACTGACTGCAAATTCCTGTTATTCTTTGATTGCTAGTGAGATTGGGTCAGTGTATCTCAAATTAATTGTCAGCTGTCAGTGCATCACAGTGCAGTCTGGAAGTCTGCTCCAGACAGACCCTGAGCAAGGCGGAGTGGACAAATTGCATTATAGGACCAGGGCGCATTTGTCTGAGCATTATATTTACAATTTCACACAAGTAGTAATATTCACCCTCAAAATGCATAATATCCCTTTCTTTTCTCTTGCACTGTCTGATACCCGCCATGTCCACACTTCAGGATTTTTTGACATTACTTCTGTGCCTCTCTTGTTTCAAAAGTCTGTGTTTCCATTAGACGTTATTTTTACAGTACACTAGATAAATAAGAGTGAAATTCCCACAGTGGGACCAGGAGCAGTTGCCACTTTTTGTGCCCAGGCACGTGTTGCCTATGTATTAATCTCTCTGCCTCACTTCTCCATCCATAAGATGGAGAACTTCTAAACTTTCTGTTTAGACCTATTTGTGACTCTGGGTTCATTACGATGTCAAATATCTTGAAGTACAGGTCATAGGCACAATCTGTAGATTGTTTGCTCTTACATAGGTGGTTGCTATTTTGAAATTCAATATCAGAAAGAATATTCTCTTTCAAAGGATAAAGTGATAATATTGACAAGACATAGGTTGTTGGGGTTAACAAAGATTTTACGCTGGAGCAGAAGGAGTTGTTGTACTGTGGTGGGGCTGAGCCCTGGCACACTTGCCGGGGCAGGGTGCGATGACCGAGATCTGTACAGCGTGTCAGTGCGCTTGAGGCTCTCATCCCAATGAGGTTGCTTGTGCACAGGTGACCAACAGCCCTGCTGTATAGATCAGTCCAATGGCAATGTGTGTTCACATCACATCTGTGTTCACACAGAGCGTAATTCTGATGTGCGTATTTCCAAACCTGACGTGGGGTCAGGCCAGAGCCTGATGCTTGGAAAGTGTGGGCTGGGGCGCTGATGGAGTAAAAAGGCCAAACTAATTCTCTCACTTTTCTTTTCAGGGTTTGATGCATTCCAGTGGGCCTGTTGGCCGCCACCGCCAGCTGATACTCGTTCTGGAGGGAGAACTGTACCTCATTCCTTTTGCTCTTCTGAAGGGCAGTTCCTCCAATGAGTACCTCTATGAGCGCTTCAGCCTCATTGCAGTGCCATCCATCCAGTCACTGAATCCCGGCTCCAAGGTCTGACATTGCCTTATAAAACCTCTCTCTCAGAGAACCTCTCCTGTGGGGTGCAGGCTCCTATACATGCTAGAATTGCAGCAGCTCTGTCCTGCTATGCCAAGCACAAGAATAGAAATCACAAATGTACCACCTTCCCAAGGCATTCCCAGTTCTGCTGAGCACGTTGAGCTGTGAAGTAGATTCTGATGTCGTTCCTGCAGCACAGAATCACAGCCCCAGGCATACCAGGAGGGACAAGGGGAATGAACCATTTGGATAGCCTCATTTAAAGGATAGCATGTCCTGGGCTGTGAAACTACATGGCAGGCTGCAGAAATGTAGGTGTTTGTGATCAGTACTGGGCTTCCTTGGCAAGATGACTTGTCCTATCATGTTCCTGGTGTGTTTAGCTACATTTTAGCTTTCTGTGTGGAGAAGGCCACCAACATCTCATGGCACTGAAGCTATAAGACAAAGCGAATACCACAGGCAAATCCTGCAGGAAGCGTCTTCATGCTGATGTTTGGCATCAGCATTTCCAAGGGCCAGGTCTCCAGGGAGAATGCCCTAAGTCACATCTGTTCTTGCTGAGCCGTGTTCTGCTGCGTGTCTTGGCTTGCACTGTCGCAGTCACTGGAACAGCAAAGTAGTCTGAATCCTGCCAGCATGCAGCACCATGCCACTGGCAGTGGTGATGCTGGTCCCTGAAACACAGGTGTGAGAAACCAGTTAGTGAGTGATTACGAGTAATTTTCCCATAAGATGGGAAACTGGGGTATTCTTTATGCTTTTAGCTCTGCTACAGTCCTCAAAGGGACCTTGGCTAAGTCTGTTGCTTTCTGTTCTTATCTATCTGTTCACGTAAGGCGTGAGGATAGAAATCCTGACTGGACTTGAGTGGAGATGTTCCTTGAAATAATGGAAGAAATTAAAGAAATGCAAAGTTTTTTTGTAATGCTGATAACCAGACTTCTGTTTAGAGCCAAAGACACCAGATATTCTATTACCAGCACCATAACAAACAGATCTTTCAACCTCATTTTCTCTTTCTCTAGTCCCATGCGAAGAAGAATACTCCTGCTTACTCCAGTTCTACCTCAATGGCAGCTGTCATAGGAAATCCCAAGCTCCCTTCAGCAGTTATGGACAGGTGGCTATGGGGACCTATGCCCTCTGCAGAAGAGGAAGCATATATGGTATCTGAGTTACTTGGCTGCCAGCCCTTAGTTGGCAGTGCAGCAACAAAAGAGAGGGTCATGAGTGCCCTCACTCAGGCAGAATGTGTCCATTTTGCAACCCATGTCTCCTGGAAACTGGCTGCTTTGGTCCTGACACCTAACACTGACAGTAATCCAGCCAGCAGCAAGAGTTCTTTTGGGAACCCCTACACAATCCCAGAATCCCTTCGGATGCAGGATGATGCCAGTGATGTGGAGAGCATCTCAGACTGCCCTCCTCTTCAGGAGTTCCTGCTTACAGCAGCTGATGTCCTGGATCTGCGGCTTCCTGTCAAATTAGTGGTTCTTGGCTCTTACCAAGAATCCAACAGCAAAGTCACTGCTGATGGAGTCATTGGCTTGACAAGAGCATTCCTGGCTGCTGGGGCTCAGTGTGTCCTAGTGTCACTCTGGCCTGTTCCTGTGGCCGCTTCCAAAATGTTTGTGCATGCCTTCTATTCCTCCCTCTTAAATGGGATGAAAGCCAGTGCAGCCCTTGGAGAAGCAATGAAAACTGTACAGAGCAGCAAGCAGTTCTCTCATCCATCCAACTGGGCAGGTAGGAAGAATCTGCTTCTTGACAAACCAGACGGGGTTTCTAGGAAGCACTCTTATGCCAAATTGTTTGAGTTATGCAAGGAGTGGTGGTAGCAGGTAGTTGGGAGTAGCATATGCCCTGTGCTCTCCCAGATTTCAGCCCCCATGCTTCAGACCCTGATTCAACTGAGTATGGCTGAATGTCAGTGTCATGGACACATCAGTATTCCACTGTCTATAGTACGTGGGCTATGAATTTGATATAATTTAAAGCAATTGTGTGGTGAAGTGTGTTTCATCACAATGGTTTCATGACTGGAAAGAAATAATGTGCAATAGTTATTCCCTATGTTTGAAATCTATAGGGTCAAGTTTCCTGTACACAGGATGGAGCTAGCTGGAGCAAATTTACAGAACCTTCTCACTGAGAATTTAGTGAAACTCTAACAAGGAGGCAAGAGTAGTACTTCTGAAAATTGGAGCAGCAGCAACCAGTAGCTATGATTTCTGTGATGTAAACTTTGTAGGGCCTATGCCTTTGGTCCTTTTAGGAGAAAGGTTTCCCTTGCTTCCACTGGAAATTTCTCAGCAGTGTAAGCTTTGGGGTGGAGCGCTGGTGCTTGCTCCCTCTCAATTAGATGAGTGAGTTGAGAATCAGTAAGACAAAGTCTTGGAGTTCAGTGGTGGTGTTACAGGGATATGTACAAATAACCTGCTTTTTTTTTTTTTCCCTGAGAGAAGTCCTGTTTTTTGAAAGCTGCAGGCATTCCCCAAATGGATGTTTTTGCACAGGCAGCAGTACTGTGTTGTTTAGATCAGGAAGCTGTTCTAAGTATGGCTCTGATGTAAACTGTATGTAGCTGGAGGAGCAGGAAACTCAGTAGAGCTTATTAAAATGAGCGCTGGCAGTTAGTCTGACAGAGTGATTTCAGGGTTCTTGAGTCCAGCATTAGGACGTGATTCAGAGAACACCAGATGGGAGCTGAGTTTAGGTTACAGTCCACAGTTCAATTTGTATTTTATTTTCCTTCCAAGATTTTTCTGTCTCAAAGAGCATTAAAAAAATAAAAATGACCGATTCCTAGGTAAAAAAAGAATGAGCATGGACATGGGTGCTTGGCATCACCACCAGGTAGAAGCTTCCAGCTACTCGAGCTGTCTTAGTACTGCTCCTTCCGTGGTAGGTAAGCAGTTCATTACACACAGTCCCTGACTTTCACCTTTGACTCTTGATGGTGAGTCTCAGAGCACGAGAGCGAGGACGGGCAGCTGCATACCTTGCTGCAGTGGATGAGAAGGGACAGGCAGAGCTCCTTGTGCTGACACTTGGAAAATCTAGCATTTAGGCAGTGCCTAAGCCAAGACAGGCTTTTGAGACAGGGAAAGCTCTCAGTCCGAGTTCTGTTTCTGCAAGCACTGTTTAGCATCTATTGATTTTCGGTGCTGTAAAGGAGACCTGGAACACACTACAACAAGTTTAGCTGCAATACAGTATTTTTTCCACTTGCTTGAACAGGAAAACACTATTGATTTAATACAAGAGGATAGTAAGAAGCCTCTAGAAGCTTTCTGGGAGTTCAGACTATGGGACTGGGCAGCTGCTCTGGAAAAGAATGTCACTCTGCAGGGCGCAGTAAACCATCATTCCATTAGTTCGAGAGGGCAGAGGATCTGTTTCTGTTTTGAACATTTTCTATAATGAAAGGAGGTTGAGTGTCTCTTATTCTGAATCCTGCAGCCTTCATGCTTATTGGGAGTGATATGAAGCTGAACAGCCCTTCTTCGCTAGTAGGACAGGCCCTGACTGAGATTCTGCAGCACCCTGAAAGGGCACGAGATGCTCTGCGTGTCCTGCTACATCTGGTAAGAGACAGGAAACACTGCCACACGCAGCAGGCACAGCAAGGGGCATTGCAGGCCATGTAGTTGTGAGATAATGTTACCTGTGGGTATGCATCTGTAAATGGTGAATGGGAAGAGAAACACCCTGATGTGTAGCCACGCACACTTGAATATATACCTTCAGCTCTTCTCCCTTACGATAAAGTAGTCACTTGTGAAAAGACTGGGTCAGTGTGAGAAGACTGAGACGTCTGATGGAGTGGCCAGAGCAAAAACAGGCAAAGTAAGCCAAGTCTTACATTGTATTGTGACAAAATACTCCCCACATCCATCTGGTTTGCATTAGCTGTTGAATTGGGTCTCTGCTTTAAAAATGAGATAATCATTGGAGTTAGTTGTTTCTATAAGGCAAGAGCTATGAATGTATGGCAGTCATGGAGATGCAGAGCACAGGGACTGCTCCCTCTTTGCATCCTTGGAAGATAAGAGGCACTTTTGTCCCCATATGTGCCAGTAGCCTGTTGTGGGGAGCAGCAGGACTGAAGCCAAACTGCCAGATGGCTAGAATAATCTCTCATGACTTTTAATACTTTTCTTTCCGATGTGTCTTCCGTGGTCCCACAGGATTGTGGAGTATCCATAGGGTGAGGGAAACCTGTGAATATTGCTAGTCATCCCAGTTGCTGGGTTTTGTGAACACACATCTCTCTTTACTGTTTACCATATAGCTGGAGACTCTTCCCTGGTAATAAACGGTGTTCGTGAAAGATTGGAACCTGAACATGAGTCATCTTTTGGGGAGAAATGCAGCTGCCAGGCTTATAGGAAACTATCACAATCAAACTGGAACTTAGTTAGTAGATTTTCCCAGCATCTCAGAGAATATTGACACTCACCATAGTGATTTTACAGCGTGCAGGCTGAGTTACTGGAGCCTCTGTTTTCAAGGGCACTAAAATCCTTCTGTGTAAGACAGGCCAGGTTCAACATTCAGTTTGCTGTCTCTCAACCTGCTGTTACTGCCTCTTTACTGTGTAAAAAGAGGTGGTTTGTAAAAATCTCTTATAAAATAAGCTGTACTTTCCCCAAAGGTGGAGAAATCACTGCAGCGAATCCAGAATGGGCAGCACAACTCAATGTATACCTCCCAACAAAGCGTGGAGAATAAAGTAGGTGGCATTCCAGGCTGGCAGGCACTACTCACTGCAGTAGGATTTCGGTTGGACCCTCCAGCCAGTGGCCTCCCAGCAGCAGTGTTCTTCCCAACCTCTGACCCTGGTGACCGGCTACAGCAGTGCAGCACCACCATACAGTCCCTCCTGGGTAAGAAACAGGCCAGCTACTGGCCGTGTCCTCATCTGTCCAAGCAGACATTGACCTTTCCCTGCCTTTCTTTGATGCAAGCCTGTAAAATGGTGATGGTTTACATCAGTGAAATAAAAGTATGTAACAAGGTAGAGGTTCTAGAAGTAAATGTTTTACTGAACATTTTGTCGTAGATGAGAATCATTTACTACTGGGTCCAGTATCTCAGAAGCATGATGTGACTATTCTCCCAGCTCTCAATCAGAAAATGTGTAATCAGATGCAAAGTGGGAAACCCTTTTGCTTTCTGGAAATTGCTCGTGCTTCCAGAACTGTTCAGTGATGTGGGGGAGAGGTTTTAGGAATTAGCTGAGTTTGTGTTCAGGTTGTTGTATTTCTAGCAGTCAAGAAACAGACACTGAACAATCCCTATTTCTGCTGATGTTTTTCAGGTTTGCCTAACCCTGCACTTCAGGCACTTTGTAAACTTATCACGGCTTCAGAAACAGGAGAACAGCTTATCAACAGGGTGAGTTGGGAGGTTTTCCTCCAGTACCAGTTTCCAAATTGTTCTTCCCAGGTCAGTAAATTCAAAAATGCACAGAATGGTTTATGCCTTGGTTTATCAACCCAGAGCTTGCTAGGAGACTTCAGGGTTGAAATTCTAAACTTGCCTATTTGTGTGAATGAAAGTGTGTGTCCAGAAGAGAAAAATGCAAGTGTATTACTGGGCTGCATGGCCTTGGGTCTTCTTGTTCAGTGGCAGAAGACAAAGCATTGTACTTAGTGCAGTGAGGGGGAAGCAAAATATGGGAAATGAGTGGTAAAACCACTAATTGCTATTTGGCCATCCTGTCTAGGGTCCATGTTGGCTGGTCGTTGTCCACAGTAATTACCAAAGTCCCAAAGTATAGTTGACTTGGGACAATGCAAGGTCTGTCAGAAAACTTAGTGAGCCTATGCTTCTCCTGCTGCGTGTGATCGTAGCTCTGCTGAAAGGATTCACAGTTTTTAAGAGAAGGGCAGTGCCTCCTGTGGCTATGGGACTCCTCCCTGCCCCTCCAATCTCCTTCACATTCCTCCCTCTCCCCCGTCTTTCTAGCATGCCTAGCCTAACCTTTCTCTGTGCCACCAGCCTGGCTGGCTTTCCATTACATGTTTCTTACTGTCCTGATTGCTCCTGTAATGAGGTTTATCTTGATCATTTGCCTGCTTTAGTAAATAAACACACTGCACATAGTGAATGGGCATATAGTTCACTTTCTTTTTCCCTTTCCCATGCAAAAATGTTCTGGGGAAGTACTGTGGTGGGTAGCTGGGATTATCTCTGTGCAGCTTCAGAGGGCTCCCCATCATTCTGTCATGCTGTGTCTCTGCACAAAATACAAAACAACAGCCCCAGCTTTGCTGTTACCTTCTAAGCAGCCTGTTTTGTCAATCCCTTAGACTGAGTCTGCTTCAAGGAAAGAGTTTCTTGTTATGATCTACAGTAGCACATGAGATATTTCTAATGGCTTGTCCTTTATGGCATTTTGCTTTCTTGCCTTGGCTTTTTTGTCAGTACCCAAGACTTCTGTGGTTGAACAGCAGGGTTATTTTTTCCTCATTGCCACCAGAGGGAGGCCCAGAGTAGAAGGAATGTGATGAGTAGAAGACGACATTCCGATAGATCAGACTGTGTTACAGTATCCGTGAGATTACTTCACAATTGTCTTCTTGCCTCAGATAATTAAATCACCCAAGGGAAAACATTCAGATGGTTGTACATAACTAACAAAAGATGCACTCACCATTTCCTGAGCTGCCTCATGCAATAAATATTGGCAGGGATATTGCATTGTTTTTGCAAATGGTCTTCTGTAGCCCAAACCCCAGGCAGAATTTCCCTTTGCACAAGAGTCTATCCAGTTACAAGTAAGGGTGTTTCAACTTAGCTCTCCCTTCCTCTGTGGTTACTTGCTTTTTTCCCTTCCTTCCTCTCAGCAGTTCAGTTGGTGAGCAGCTAAGGCTCTGCCTGTCCCAAAGGAGAGAAGACTTTGTTCAAAAGTGGAGCATAATGACTGACAGTTCAGTCAGTGGGTGTTGCTCACTGTTTTTCCTGTATGGGTGATAGGTGTCGTAAGGGGGCAGGTGCTCTTGGCATTAGTGAAGCAGCAAGGCAGGGAGCCTGATCTTTTGCTCTGGATAGAAAATGCTTATTTTTAGTGCAAAACAGAAAGCAGGAACCACAAAAGAGAGAACTTCAGTACTACCGCATGTGCAAGGAAAAGTTAGGGATTGCTGACTGCATTAAGTGCCAATAACGTATCCCAGAGAAAACAAGAGAAGGGCTTGTTTTATGTTCAGCCTTTGCCAGAATGTGGGTTGGCCTGAGTGTCTGCCTGCTAAGTGTCTGAGTTGATTTTAAAGAGCTGGGCACTCCCAGATTCCAGCTGCCTGTTCCCACGCTTTTGGACTCCTGATTCATAGCTCAAGCCATTTCCATTGGTCCCTTCTTTCTCTGGATAGAGCATCTTGCAGTCAGGATGCTGGTTTGCATGTGGATGTGTCACTGCAGGGTTCCCTATCACAGGCATTTTGTAGCACAGAATAACCTGTGTTCTTTCTTTTCTCCTCTCTTTTCCTTTCTTGTTATCTGCTGCCCGAAGGCTGTTAAAAATATGGTGGGAATGGTGAGTATTACATGCACTGGGGAATGACACTGCTGTGCAGGGTAAAATGCCTTGGTCACTGCAGACCCATTTCCCTGCGCTGCATAGTGTCTTCAACCCGCTTTCAGGCCTGGAATTTGCTCCATAGTGCTACTGTGGAAAACAGACTCTGTAAGCTTTTGCGGGTTATAAGAGATGGGTGGTCCTGAGGTTAGCTGGTCCCTGATTAATGACTTTCCATCCTTCCTGCCCTGGATGTATTTTTAATTGCATGGGATTCTGGCACCTTAATTTGTGTCAGATCTTCATAAACACATTTTTTCTCTACTTTGCTACTCCTGTCCCTTGGGCACAGTTGAGAAACTTCTTTCCTGGAGGCCATGGAGGTATTAGGAAAGTCTTCCGTGGTTTCATATGACTTGTTCTGCCCAGTTAAATGCTGAGAATGAGGTTCCTGGGATTTGTGTAAGGAGTATGCTTCAGTCATGGAACGGGCTTTAGTATATTTCTGTGAGCAGCCCCAAAGTATCTCTTTCCTTTTCTTTCACTTCACAGATATTCCTATTCCACTGGCCACCCCCACCCCAACCCTCATCCCTGTTCTGTCCCTGCCTTTGCTGCTGTTCAAGTTTGTCCGTCGTTGCAGTCCCTGGAGTGTCCCTCTGCCCAGACCTTTTCATCTCGCTGTGCTGTTCAGGAGCAGCAGCTGAGTGTATGGGTGTACAGGGAAAGGGATGTTTGCAGTGCATTTCCTTAGCTGTGACTGTCGGAAAAGCAGTGATGTGATTTGTTAAGGAATGGCTAATGTTTGTATTGTTATCTTCAGCTGCATCAAGTCCTGGTTCAACTTCAGGCAGGTGAGAAGGAGCAAGATTTCTCCTCTGCACCAATCCAGGTTTCCATCAGTGTCCAACTCTGGAGGCTGCCTGGCTGTCACGAGTTTCTGGCAGCTCTAGGTAGGAACACACTTCTTTCCATTGTCTTTCTAAAACTATTGCTGGTGTCTCATATGGTGGCTTGAAGTAGTGATGAGACTCAGAGCTTTAGATTTGTTTGTCGCTGGATGTGATCCCTGACTGCTCAGTACGCCTTTGCCAGTTCACATACACAGGGCTCTTTTGCTCAGTCATTGGCCAATGTAAGGTGCATTTTTCTCTTGTGCACCAAAACATCTCCTGAGTCAGCAGAACATGGATTTCAGGGTTGACAACAGCTTGGTGCTGTCAAGTTGGTTTAACCCAGCTTTTATTTCAGGATCCTGTTCCCCTCTTGTTCACAGTACATGCTTTTGAGTTTGTTTCTGGCCTTCTACCTGAAGTGAACCAGTCATTCCTTTGGCAGGGAAACCTGTGCACTGGGCAAGGGTAGGACATACCAGGGTGATAGTATGTACCAGGGTCTACATCCTGCAGAAAAGACAGATGAAAACTAAATACCAAACTAGATTTTATTCCATCTTGTACGTTGCTTAGCGTTAGTAAAAGGGTATTGCAGGGAGGAGGCAACGCTGCAAAAAGAAACATCCAAGAAGACTGCTTGAGGAGCTTGTAAAAGCCAGGCATTGTTTCTCACACACAGTCATGCCTCCTGCAGCCCAGCCCTCATTTGCTAAATTCCAAGGTCTGTGCTCTTCTTCAGACCCATTTCTGTGAGAAAACTTTGGATTAATGATGAATGGTAGGGCCATGTGGGACACCGTCCCCTGAGGTGTGTTTAGTATACCATTCCCTGACAATTCCAAATAATTTGCAACTAAAAAAGTACTGACTGGTGCATTTTGTCTATCTATGTGGACAGGAGTGATTTGTTTATGTGTATGTATTCACAGTCCAGCAACCATAAAGCTCCCAACAGCTGCAGGAGAAGGCATGCTAAATAGCAATAAAATCAAGCCAACAAACTGTACGTTGTAGGTGAAGAGTCATCGTTCCAGGACACTGCAGGATCTCATATGTCTTTGTTCTGTTTGTGCTATGAATGAGATCACACTTGTTTAAGACATTGGATCTTTCTGAGAGGTGTGATTTTCTGCTCCGTATTCTGCTACAGGTTTTGACCTTTGTGAAGTCGGCCAGGAGGAGGTGATTCTGAAGACTGGGAAACAAGCTAATAGGAGGACCATGCACTTTGCTCTACAATCCTTGCTGGCACTTTTTGGTAAAACTACTTACAGTAGTTTTTGCTTTTATATCATCTGATGATTTGATCAGAATGGCTTCTGTTGAAATCTCACGCTCTTGCAGAGATCATACATACATCATCACACACGTGTCAAACAGACCATACATCGTACAACAGGTGCAGCAAATGTTATTTTGATATGGGAAACAAACACTAAGACTTGGCTCAGGCCAAAGCTGGAAATAGTCCAGCAGCTGGAGGATGTATAACTCACCCTTGGTTTTGAGATGTAAAATGATAATGAATGGACAAGTTTCATCTAGGATACCTGGACTGAGGTTCGTGCCTGTGCATTTCCTGGGCTGTGCACATTCTTTTTCTCACCTAAGTAGTAGCTGGGTTTTTTTGAAGTAGCATAGAGTCTGAGTGCATGTTTTGTAGCATTTCCTCTTAATTCGTATAAGAACATTAGCTGGTTTTGTTTGATTTTACTGTGTATCTAGGGGCTTGTTTGTACATAATTTTTTTTCTTTTTTTAGATTCTACAGAGCTGCCTAAACGCCTTAGCCTGGACAGTTCCTCATCACTAGAGTCACTCGCTTCTGCTCAGTCTATTTCCAACCCTGTACCCCAGTATCAAAACCCACCATTCTCTCCTACTTGTCCAGACAGCATTGCATCAGATGCCATTTCTGTGTATAGCCTGAGCTCCATTGCTTCTTCCATGAGTTTTGTTTCCAAGCCAGAGAGCATGCCAGATGGTGTGGGACACAGAGGACGCCAGGACTATGAGAGGCCCAAGAACATCTATCCACACAGGTCTGCAGTACAGAGCCAGTTGTCACCACAAACCAGCACTGTAGCCAGCAAAGATGAGGAAGAGTATGAAGGTTTTTCTATAATCAGCAATGAGCCTTTGGCCAGTTACCAAGAAAACATAAAACCAAGATTTTCCCCTGATCACAAACAGCCCAAAACTGGTCAGACTGGAGGCATTAAAGAGTCTGTCAACTCCAAAGGGAGCATAAGCACCCCAAATTCTCCGGTTAAAATGACTCTTATTCCCAGTCCAAATTCACCTTTCCAGAAAGTTGGGAAACTTGCAAGTTCTGACACTGGGGAATCTGACCAGTCTAGCACTGAGACTGACAGCACTGTCAAATCCCAGGAAGACAGTAATCCAAAGCTTGATCCGCAAGAGCTGGCACAAAAAATTCTGGAGGAAACTCAGAGTCACCTCATTGCTGTTGAACGTCTTCAGAGAAGCAGCAGCCAGATAAACAAGAGCAACAATTCAGATGATGGGTCTTCCACCCCAGGAGGTGTGTCTGCTTTCAGATCTTCAGAGACTAGTGCATTCAGTCGGCCAATCAGCTCTAGTCAGAAGAATCAGTCTTCACCTCTTGCAATTAAACCAAAGCCTCCAACAAGGAGTTCGTCCCTTCAGAAAGTGAGTTCTGGCTATAATAGCCCTACGACATCGGAGATGTCAAACAAAGAAGGCTCAGGCCAATATAGTGGGCAGCCATCTCCAAGTTGTGATTCACACGGGTCCTTAACTGAGCAGCCTCACTTTAAACTCAAGTACCCCAGCTCTCCCTACAGTGCTCATATTTCTAAATCACCCAGAAATATCTCTCCAAGCTCAGGGCATCAGTCTCCTGGTGGCAGCACTCCATCTCCTGCTCTTTCTTATTCCTCAGCTGGTTCTGCTCGCTCAAGTCCAGCTGATGCCCCAGACATAGACAAATTAAAAATGGCTGCCATTGATGAAAAAGTGCAAGCAATTCACAACTTAAAGATGTTCTGGCAAAGCACTCCCCATCACTCCGCTGGCCCAATAAAGATTCTCCGAGGAGCTCCTGGAACAATGACATCTAAGAAAGATGTCCTCAGCTTGCTCAATTTATCTCCGCGGCACAACAAAGAAGAAAGCGCAGATAAGCTGGAACTGAAGGACCTGTCTATTGAGCAACACCTTGCTTCTCCACAAAAGAACCCTCCAAATGGACACAGGCGCCCTGAAACTACAAATGCAGTGACATCAACTCATTCTCCACCTTCCAGTAGCACTCCAGGAACTGCACGCCCCTTGAGGCTGCCATCTGGGAACGGTTATAAATTTTTGTCACCGGGAAGATTTTTTCCTTCCTCCAAATGTTGAAATTGCTTGAGTACCAGCTGATGACTTACAATATTGTAAAAGTATTTGCTTCTGCCCACTTGCCTTTACCAATACAGAACCATTATCTGAGAAGCCGTGGTCACACCCACAGTTGGCAATGCACAGGAAGGTGACAGATTGGCCCCGTCTGTCACTGTGTGGGCACACGGGCCTTACACAGATGGGTTTTAGTTTTCCTTACCAGGACCTTGGCCAGACTCACTTGGTAACAGGTTCTATGTAGTGTTCAGTATTTGCAGCAACAGGTCCAATGAATCTAGTTGGCTGTTCATAAAATACTAGCTTTTAAGCCACCTACTTGTATTTCCTAACCTAACAGGAGGTTTTACAGCTGGCTTTTTATACAGAAATTAAACATATCAGGGATTGGAGAGGGAAGCGAGAGGAGGCAGGACTTTCATGTATACCACAAAGAAAGTGTGCACAAGTTTTTGCCTGGAGAAGTACAAGCCATTAATTTGATTGCTCTCAAAGGCTGACAGAGAGGACAAGATAACGTACCTCTAGGTATCTCTGCCAAGGTAGCCAAACACAAGAAAATGCTGGCAATAAAACTCCGTAGCAGCATGATACTGGCAGTTCTCTTGCATCATTTAGAGGCTGTTGAAACAAAGACAAGAGGACATAGGTCCCCCATTCTAAATCCTGCGTCTCAGGTAACTCTTTTCTGGAGGGAAACCTTTCAGGTGATACTTTGCTGGTTGGTCTGCTCAAAAAGAATGTTTGAGGCGTAACGGGCAAGGTGAGCCTCAGCGTGAGGTAGTGAGCATGTGTCAGAGAGACAAGTTCTGGTTTTATTGAATGCTCTGATCTTTCTGCAACGCAGCGTTATGAAGGTCAAATTTTCATCTTGGCAAGTATTTGGGCAGCACAAGTGTCTTTTGTCTGCTGAGTATGCACAGAAAAAGGTTACAGATACTGAAGCTCAGAACGTTATTTTACAGTTCCACAGTAGGCAGGAATGTGACATTGGTGTGTGTGATTTAGAAATCACCTGACCAAGTAAATACTTTGCTGATCCTGTTAAATCATTCCACATAGCTTATCACAGGCAGGTCTGCAAACCTTTCCCCTGCTGTGGAAGCAAGTTTCTTTTGGAGCAAATATACCAGTCCAAGCAGAGGTCAGTGCTGTCAGAGCATGTACGTGAGGCAACAAGCAGAGTGGCTGTATGCAGAACTGGTGCACCTTCTGATCCGTGGAGAACAGAGAACCAAGGAGTGATGTGTAAAGTAAGCTTTCCTGGGCTAGATGGTGTTTGGGTGTTAGGGATCAAGTTGGAGATTCTTTCTTTTAAGCGGCTGTTGAACACAGTGATGTAATCAGAATCAAGATGATAATTTACATGCACTGAAAACTGTGGGCGTGTGGTAGCGTTAACTCAGCCACGCTGCACACTTGGATCCAAGCGAAGTATTTCACAGGCCATGTGCTATGAAGTCAGAGCACTGGATCACCAAGGCTTTTGGTTTCTATTCTGCACTCCCAAAATTCGCTGAGTGACTGAAGGCTAATCACTTCACCTCTCCGTGCCTCGTCTTCCCTTTCTATCTAAATGGGGATAGTAATACTTACCTACCTACCTCACAGAGGTGTTGTGAGGCTTAATTAATTAGGCCCTGAGTTTTAGCTGGACCTGAATGGTGAGTGCAGTCAGCTCTGTAAATGTATTAGGGGCACATTGCTGATGCAGATAATTGTTGCACTTATCATGTCTGGATGCTCTTCTTGAAAATACGGATCTGATCATTTGTGACTTTCTTAGAGATCTAGGAGGAAAAAGCACGATAGCAGGACAGAGGATTCAATTCTGATACCAGAATATAAAATTACTTAGGCTCAGCTTACTCATGGTGCATATATATCAAATGCTTGCTTTGAGTATATTCTAGAATCCACTCGTTTGGGGAGAATGTTTTCGGTTTTGCCATCACAAAAAATTAACACAAACATGAAAGGCAAAGGATATAGGGCTGTGTTGTTACAGTCAACTACCAAGGCATGGATGATCACAAAAGTTTCAGTGCAGAAAGACAAAAAGAGTAGTTATTCAGCTACTGATTATACAACGTAGCAAAACAGTTGAGTAAATCTGTTCAACTCATGATGCAAGTTATTTGTCTATATATTACATCTTTCTGTAATGGTTTGGTGCTAGATATCATCTTCTCATCATTTGGCAGGGAAAATTAGAATAGTGGGCCAAAATGAGTCAGTACAGCGTCTACCAATCATGTAGGCGGTGATATTGCTGATCATACATCTTGCTGTGGTCACAAGACTGCTGACAGACTTCATGTGACCTAATCTGTTTCTAACCAGCATAACTGTTCTAAAACGACATCCCAGGAACACCCAGGATGGAAGTGGGCAGCTTTTTGTTTATAGCAACAGCAAATACTCCCTGTAGTGCTGCATAACATGCCAGAAATAAGCCTCTTTACTTGTAGTTTACTTCCATAACTAAAGGATCTTTTAATCTGTAGAAATTATATATTGCCATTTTGGTACAACCCATTTTCATGCTGCCAGTGGGTTTCATGCTGGCTTAAAGTTTTCAGAAAGAGCTAAATCGGGGTGGGGTGGGCTGGTTTTCCTGATGTTTTTTTTAAGGGGGGGGAAGCATTAGAAACAGGGAAGGGTTCAGATGTAGAGGAAGTTCAGTATTTGGGAAATTGGTGTTCTATAAATATGGAAGGTGAGTGTCACTAGAACAAGTCCTTTGGGAAATGTGTTTCCGATGACTTGACACAGGGCACTTCCGTTGGCTTAATGAGAGCCATGAAGATGCATGCTTGCTCATGGCTGGGAGACACTTCACACACCTTGTGCCTCACTCCTCCACCCCCTGAATGAGAAACAACCCCTTTGTGAGGAAAAAAGAGTTTTATCAGGTTTGCCCAATATGTGGAGAAATTCAGGAAATGAAAATAACATGTTCTCCGTTTGATATTAGAATTCCTTCTGTGGAGTTTAAATGCATTTGTCGTCGTTGTATTTGTGCATGGTACAAGTGACAACACTGCTTAATACGGTGAGCAATAAGAATTAGGTATTATCCACTTTCACATTAAACCTGCCACATGCAACCATTCCCCAAGGCCATAGAACGTATTTTAGTTTCATTTTGCCCAATATGTTTTACTGTGTGAGATTACAGATTTTTAATTTTTTTTACTGTCTTTAGCTCCAACTAAATGGGAACAGTAAACAATCTCTCTGATCAAAATCCAGTTTAATTTGATTTTGTTGGTTAGCCTGTACTCTGGCCTGGTACTAATTTTCCTTCTTCTTAATCATACCTTACTTAAACAAGGAAAAAGCATTGAAGGGGGGGCTACACCCACACATACCACTCTGGGCTGTATTTCATTAGGTCAGACTCGTTCTGTGAACATCTCTTTCCAGTTGCAGAATAGATCCAGGTGCACAGAGATATCTGTGGGTCTGTTAAGTAACACTGGTAGTTTCAGGCTAGATGCTCATAATGGGTTTGAGCAGTTTCAGGTTCATTGCATCGCCATGCTGTCCAGAAAGGCTGCAAATGTGTGTGGAAAACTTGGCCCCTCGGTTGCAGAACTCCTTCAAAAGAGCGTTGAAGATGGTAACTCAGAGAGGACTGTCAGCAAAGACTCTTCCAAGCAGCAGCCCTTTAGCACTTGCTCTCCTTGTATGCAGTGTTAGCCATGTTTGGCCTATATGGACTTCCTTTGTAAATTAAAACTCTGTTTCCAGACAGCATTAAACTTTTTATATTATGAAATTTACCATGTAAAAAGATTTTCATATTTTTATTGAAATTGCTAAGGCATTTGGCCTTCTTTCTTTGTGATTTCAGTGTCTATTAAAGCATGAGTTCTCTCAGTACTTCAGTCTCTTGGTCTAGGATGGTGTTGAGAAGGAATTTGTTAGCACACTGCTCTCTGTCCTGACACCCAGCTGGTTGCTAGTCTGTTCCTCTAACCTGCTCCTGAGAAGCAAAGAAATTGGGCATGAATCCACATTTTGTGGTGAAGTATGGCACAGCAGCTGTCCTCAGTGGAAACGAGGGGTCACTGAGAACTTCCTCCATTTTTTGTGGCAGAATGTAGCGTTCCTGTGTGACAAATGGTGATTGGAAATTGCTCTTCCTTTTCCTAGCAGGTGGTGGGAGGATCAATATTTGCTCGCTGTCTATCTTGTAGTCATCAGCAAAAGGACACATAGGGTTGGAAGGAGCTTGAAGGATTGCCCAGTCCCATCCCTCCACCGTCTTGGAAGAACCAAGTGCTGAAGGTATGATATATTTTCCCCATACCAATGCCAGTTGGAGCTTGCTGACTTAAATCTTCCTTCTGCCCCTATGTGAAATGTGCCCGTGTGGTTAGGGGAAGTGTTGGTGACCAGATGAAACTAAACAGAATTTGACTTGTTTTATGGTCTCAGAAGTTTCCATTGACACCTGTCTCCCAGTTGTGCAAATGCAGCCTCTGGCCATGTTTGACAGAACACGCAGACCGTATCCTCGGTCATGACACAGCAGGTTCTTACTGGCCTACAGTCTCTACCTTCCAAATGTTCAAGAGTGAGGTGATCTGAACCATGTAAATCACTGCAGCCTTCCTGGCGTTAACCCTTTTGTAAGGGACCTTTCCTGGTATGTGTCTAAAATAGCTGATGCTCTGTATTTGAAGGCACAGATGGTGCAGCTCCCCAACAAAGGTTTTATGGGTGGCTGCCTCAGCTTAGTCATGCCCTTACGGTTACCTACAGCCTGGTGACACATGCAGTGTAAATCTGTAGGCAACTGGTGTGGATGCCTTAGTTTCCTCTGTCGCTGTTACTAAGATACTGTCACTGTATCGCAGATACAAGAAAGTCCTGTTCTTTTGCGAGATGTGCTTCTAGGACAGCAAGTGTGGGAAGAAGTCAGTTCAGTACTGTGAAAATGAGAGGAGCTGTCTTAAAGCCTAACCTTGAACATTTTTGTATTCAATATT